GTGTGTGTGCATGTGTGTGTGCGGGTGTGTTCGTGTGCAGAAGTGGCAGCTTCTCCCCGAGGATAACACAGTCCCCATTCAACAGTTTATGATCGGAATGGTAGCCACAGTCCATTGTTGAACCGTGTTGTTTATTGGCTATTGTCCTGTGTCAGGCAGGAGGCTGAGTGTTTTATGTTTATTAATCCTTTTACTGGTCACATAAAGTCATCCTGGCTAATTATAGATTAGGAAATTGAGGGTTTAGACAACCTTAACTTGTCCAAGCCACCTTGTGTCTCCTCCCTTAGCCTGGACTCACAAACGTTCGATGGCAGTGCCTCCTATAGGAGGTAGGCACTGAGGAGCACAGCTCCCGTGTGTCACAGGCAGGGTACTGATGCTTAGAGCAGAGTGTGTTTTTTGCACCTCCCTCCTCCCTGGGTCCTTAAGGATACCTTCTGCTTCACAACTGTGGTTTCCTGAACTTATACCACAGAGTAAGACTCCCCGATGGCCTGACTGGAATTGAGAGGAAATGCCAGGAAGTAGAAGAGCCTCTGTTGTCTACAGACAAGAGAATGATGAGGGCGGGGGAGTCAGGAGGGACATCCTGCCTGGCTCTCTGTGACAGTCAGCGTAGAAGAGAGCTAAGGGCCAGATGCCAAAGGCAGGATGCACAGTTTTGTCAATTGGCACAGATGGGAAACATTTTCTTCTGAGTCAAAAGCATGCTAATATCAGAGAATGAAGAACTGGAATCCAGTGGACTCGCCCACTCGTGTTTGGAATCTGCGATAATAAAGAAGTTTGTGAGGGATAAGGAGATGGCTCGGTAGGTAGGAGTGTTTACTGTGTAAGTATAAACATAGGAGTTCAAAACCCCGAGCTCCCATCTAAAAAAGCTGGGCCTGGCCGCATGTGCTTGCAATCCTAATGTTGGGCAACAGAGACAGGCAGATTCTTAGAGCCCACTAACCAACAAACCTAGCTGCTTCAGGACTTCTGGCTCAGTGGGAAGCCCTGTCTCAGGGCCGTAAGGTGAAGAGTGACCAACAAGGACACCTGGCATCCTGTTCTGCCTCCTCTGACATCTGTATACTGTGTGTACAGCATGAACACACAAGCACATATGTATGTACACCCCACACACGTACACACACACATACATACACACACACACACACACACGAACACACGAGGCCTTGGAGGCCTGGCCTAGGGTGTAGATCAATGGTAGAGTACTTGCCTATCACACAAAAGCCCTAGGTTCAGCTTCTACTAGCCAAGAAAAAGTAGAAAACACAGGTGAGTTGCCCTGAAAATGTGAGCATGGGAAATATGGCTACAACCCCTCATCTGCCGTCTAGTGGTGTGGCTGAGGGAGAGATGCCCTCCCCGACTCTCACCCTTACTGCCTGTGGCAGGTGGGACAGCTGGCCCTGAGGTCCTAACGGCAGGAGAGCTGGCCCTGACCCTCACAGCTGCAGGACTCTGGAGAGTGGTCCCCTGTCTGCACCTTGCCTGCACAGCTGGTTTTGCCTAGTGGCGTCCCTGTGGTGAACTGGCTTTGAGGGAGTGAAAGCAGGACAACTGGCCCCACCTCTTGCTCCTTGCTGCATTGGGTGGGCTGGCCAGGGCAGTGCTGGAGAGCTCATCCTGGTGGTAAGGATGAGGGGAAAGCTGGCAGGGTAACCGACCCAGCTACTACCCAGGCGCAGATGCAGAGCTATGAGCTGGTCCACTCCAACATCTACCCTATCTACGATCCGCTGGTGCCTATGAAGGGGCTGGTCCTGCAGATCCAAAGCTGCAGAATCTCTGACACAGGAAAACAACTGGATATCCAAGAGGAGTCTCAGTGAGGGCCCAGCATTGATAGCGTAGCAGAAACCAGAGGACTTGAACCAGACCAATGACAACACATGCAAGTAAAGACATGTGGACAAAATGGTTCACTGTGTGACTACAGTGTCCACAACGAGATTTTTCTTTTCTTTTTTCTCTTTATTTCTTCTCTATTAAATTTTATTTTATTTTATTGGGGGGACGTTTTAAGGGCAGAGGGTGGATACAAAGCAACAGGGAGATGAACCGGATCAAGATGCATGATGTGAAAGACACAGAAATCAATAAAACATTTTAGAAAAAGAAAAAGAAAACATTTTGGAGGGGGCAATAGTATGTTCAATGTATAATATATACTTGAATATAAAGACATTTTTAAAAGTATCTTAGAAAATCTAAAATCACGAGAGTAATTTGCAGTTAACAACCTCACGGCTGCTCATTGAGTCTGTATGAACACCACACACCCCGGGGGTACTTAGCTTCCTCTCCCCCTTGGTCAGCTCTGACAGATTTTATTCTTCATGCCCTGGCTTCCGGGTCAGTCATCCTGGAAGCAGAATCAAAGACTATGACATAAACACTGACAACTCCGGACTTTAGGCCAGCCCTGCTGGCTAAGCTTGGCTTCTGATGAGAGCTGGGAGAAAACTTAGCTGTGAGACCGCTGACCTTCAAAGGTGCCAGCTTGGGTGTCACAGACTCATTCCTTGTAGAAAGAGGAGTGGTGGGTAACAGAGGAGTTGAATATTGGCGATGGGGGGAGGGAGGGCGGCAGAGCCCTTGCGAGGCGGGGGGAAAGATTCTTTTCCTCTCGTACGGGGGCCTTTCAGGAGTACCCCCATTCTGTCATTACCAGTCACCCAGAGCCAGCCATTGAGCCTCCAGGAGCAATGGACTCTGTTTATAAAGCAGTGGTCTTTGAATTCTAAGGAAGTTATTCTGCTGCTGACCTAAGATACAGGATCCCCCAGTTTGGTCTTAGCTCTTCTGGTTCCCCAAACCCTTGCTGAGTAGAAATCTCATCTCAGACCCTGGGTTCCCTCTGACTGTGAACAAGGCCTAAGATACAGTGAGAGGTTGGAGGTTCCCGCCCAGACAGGTAACAGCTGCTTTCCTTCGCTCCAAGGATGGTTAGCGCAAGGCCTGCCTGAGAGGAACCTGGGAGCCAGATCTGAAAGAGAACTTTCGCCTGACATTCAGTGTGTTATCCCATCCGCCTGAGACCTTACGGCAAGAATCAGGCAAGCCCACAGGTCTCTCTCCTCTCCTCCCTCCTCACAGAAGCAGACAGGCTCCGTACAGCCCGTGTCTTCCCCACCACAGGCCAGGAGATGGACTTATATGCATTGCTTACTTCCCCACCCCCCAGATGTCTTGCTTCTCCCATGTGCCATCTTGAGCCGGCCTCATTCCAGGTAAATTAAATTCTCTTTTTTTGTCTCTCATCCTCCTGGTGGGAAAGTTTGAGTGAATTTGCTCCAAACTCTCACCCATTAAATTTTACTGAGTTCCTGCAAAAGAGGTCTTAGGTTGTGTAGATAGGCTGGAGGCACCCATACGTCAGTCTGAGAGGGTTGGTGTCATACTCATTGTGAAATCGAGGAAACCAATTCACAGCGCTATCTAACTTGCCTGAGGTAAAAGATGGATGGAGCTTATAAGCAAGGAGGTTTTGATTCAAGATTTCCCACATCAAGTCTAAGCGGAGATAAATAGTATTTATGCACTCTGTAGTCTCTGCATTTTGTTTGTGGTTTCCTTCTGGGCCGGGCCTGAGCTAAGGCTTGTTTAAGGGTGTGCATCTGAAGGAAGGGCAGCAGTAACTGGCGTTCTTTCCTTCCTCTTCAGACTCTCAGGACCTCACAAACCTTAGTCACTAAGAGTTAATGCATCTAAGATAAATGAGAACCTCAAATGCCAATTTCCCGGACCATGTTCTGGCTCAGAAAGTCTGGAGTGGGGCCCTAGAATCTGTATTCCTAACTTTCTGGGGGAGACTAGTGGTTTGAAAGAGAAAGCGTTGAGAAGTCTAGCAAGTCTACCATGCCAAAATATCTAAGTATCAGATGTGTGTGAGAGGCCAGGCTTTTTCCAAATGAAAGCCGTGGAAGGTGGGAAGTCAACTGTCTAGATTAGTGTGGATGGACCCAGGAAATGGCTGGGCCATCTTACCTGGGATGGCTGTGGCCTTCCAAAAGCCCTAGCGTCCCTGTGATATGTCAGGCAATGAAGAGCTGACCCTACCCCCATTTAATCTTCTCACCATTATCTATGCAGAGAGAAGGTTAATACTCGTTCAGTACTAATGGCTCCTGGTCTCCAAATCCAGGAGAGGAAGACGGGGTATTCCTGATTGGCAGTAAATCTTTTCCTAGACCTTACTTTACTTTTTCTAAGATGTATGATAACTATCATTGTTGCTATGATCATCATATGAAATCTAATGTCTTGTATGTTGTGTGTTTGTGTACACATGCATGTGGAGGTCATTGGAGAGACTGCTGTCCACCTTAGTTCTGAGACAAGGTATCTCCTGATTCAGCTAGACTGGCTGACCTCCTAGACCCAGGAACCCTCCTGCCTCTATCTCCCTTGTGTTGGGGTTCCAGGCACCACCCTCAGCTTTTACAAAGTGTTCTGTGTTGAAGCTCAGGTCTTCATGCTTGCACGGTGAGCATTTTGTCAACTGAGCTCTCTCCCCGGGCCTTAAGACTAATATTGCTGGAATGCTTCTTTGAGTGGGTTTTGTATGAAGGACTAGATTTACATGGTCTCCTGTCATCCACCCTCCCATACCACTTTGGAGGAGACCCGTACCATTTAGGTCCAAGGTCATACAGATAACATGAAGTACATTTAGAATTGTCATTTAGGCTTTCTTCCTATGTGAGTGGACCCCGTGTCTTCCCAGAGGGTCATGTGACTTGTTTAATAACATGAAAGCTGTCAGTGATATTGTTGGATCAACAGCCATGAGCTTTTTGACTGGCCACTCTCTACCTATTTTCTGTAAGATTCAGAAAGGGACAGCTTCTGTTCATTTGTGGCACTGAGCGGAAAGCAAGTCACGGTCTCTGGGGACTCTTCACTCTCTGATAAATTCTGGGCACGAATGGTCAGGAGGCTGAGCCTACCAGAGTTGTATAAGGATACACTGTTAGATTCTATCCATGGCTTCCGGGACACGTTCTGAGGTCCCCTTGAAATCTAGGTTCTGTGTTGGAGCTGAAAGCTATACTGATCACTCATGTCTGGTTTGGCGCTCTTTGCCATTGTGCTAGTGACTTTGCTTGAAGCTACTAAGGTCATCGTGGGGTTCCATGCCCTCTGGTACATCTCTCATCCATTTAGTGTGCAAAGGCTGGGGCAGGCCTTCAGATTGCTGTGGACAAGCTCCAATCAGAGCCAGTGGGCCTTGGGAACTTGAGCTGGGAGTTCACTTACGCCAACTCAGCACACAGTGCTGAGGAGTCTGTTGCCATTTTCATTGACCAGGTTCATGGAGCACACATTTCTGCTCTGTTTGGACTGGCATGCCCAGAGCAGCAGAGGTAGAGAATGTAGTGTGCTAAAAAACATTGCCCGAGTTTCTACTGAAAGGATGTGAGTGTACCATGAAAGATACCAATTTTATTCATCTCTTCTTATTGGTTTTTACATTTCTGATTAAAAGATTAGTTGTATATACTCATTGTACATGGAACTGCATTATATAAGACCGTCTTCAGACTAGTATATATTATACATCTAATCTCATTAGTCTCTGGCAAAAATCACCTTATCACAATTGCTGTCTAGGTCATGGTTTCTACCTTTTGAGACCATGAAGCTAGAAGAGCTAAGTCTTTAAAGACTTTCAAGGAAAAAGGAAAAAGAGTTCATGAACTCTATTGCTCTTGCTTATTTGACTTTGATGAATGTAGACTCATTCATTTCTCTCTTATCTTGTCAGCCACATGGTCTGGAGAATTTCAGATAGACTAAAATATTTGTTTTTAAAGATAGCGGTATCAATTGTTAAAGGAGGCATCCTTGGTGTGTATAATAAATTATTCAGTAGCCTGGAGAAAATATCGCATGACAGTTTGCTTTTAGCTACAGCAAATGAGGGAGATGTGCTGTCTATGGGTAACAGGATTTGCTTAGTCAATGTCCTCGGATACCACACCATCCGAGAGAGGATGGGGAGGGTGACTAGGGAGGAGCATTGATGATCTCATCCCTTCTGTGCTGTAGAACTCTCTGGAATCATTGCTAAAATGATTCATTGTAAAATTCAGCTGACTTTTGAATTTGAAATATCTATCTCTCTGCATTTGACACCTCTCTGTCTATCCAAACCCTACTCTGAAGGCCTTTGCCACATCTCCTACATAAACTTAAGGCTGAGTCCTCCTATTTCTGTCATTCCCAGAGAAGGAATTATTCCTAAGAATCCATTGTCTACAATCCCTTTTCAGATGTCCCATTCTACCACAATTAAAATATTTGGTATTTTGATGTCTTCTTTTACCATTGCAAACTGTTTCTCCTACCCACACTTCAGTACCATAGTCAAGTGTCTTGACATTCATTGTATGCAAGACCATGGTTGCTGACCTGATCTTTAAAGACCTAAGGATCTGTTTGCACTTAATTTTGGCATTCTCATAAGCCAAATATTCAATTATTATATACCTAGCTTCTAGGTCAGTTACCCCTATTTGTACAGTCCTAGTTAGTCTTTGAAAAAAGTCACCAAAAGTTTCTCTTTAACCCTGTTTAACCATAAGATATGATTCAACTCTCTTTCCCAGTTACTGAATCCTATCCCAAGTCTTTAAAGCTGCTGTGGTATATTGGGACAAGGCATGATCATCATAAAGAGCTTGATCCTGAGGATCAGAGTAAAGTCCTTCTCTTAGAATTTGATCTAGGGAAATTTTAAGTCCTTTTGCTTTTTCTTGTTGTTCTATAATTTTCACTTCCTCTTTTAAAAAGTGCCTCCAAAGCAATTGCAGTTCACTTTCTAGGACTGCTGAGATTAACTGAGCCCAGTCTTGAGTCATGGCTTTGCTATTGACAGCCCATGTTTTGACCATTTCCTTAACAAAGGACAAATGTAGTCTGTAAGCGACAATTGCTTGCTTAATTTCTTTTAGATCAGTCATACATATGGGCTCCCAATGTATATTCCTTGACAACCTTAGGATACTTGGAGCCAGATACTTTTCTGAGTTATTACTCAGAATACTTTTCCATTATTACTGGAAAGACAGGCAGAACTCAGGGGAAGTTATCCTGGGGATTTTTAAGTACTGACAAGGTTAAATTTTGCCTTTTTACTTTTTGTTCCTGGTTATCAAATTCAGTAATTTCCTTAATCTTTTCAAATCTGTTTACCACTTCCTTTTGTAATGTCTGGATCTCCTGTCCAGTGTTCTGCTCTAAAGCCCTCATTGAGGACTGCAGCTTATGAAGTCTGTCCAGTAGAAATAATGTCTCATCCTTGGACATATAGCATACATATTACTTTCCTTGAGAGACATTCTATCAATCACTCTGCCATACCCCTTTGATAGAGTCTGATTAATACATTCAACAGTGCAAATTCTCTCAAATAATGTTTCAGCACCCATTGTCATTGATTGGGTTTTATGCACCAAATTGGATGTTTCCTTCCCCAAAGTTTTAAATCTTCCTTCAAATAAATTACTGTCAGTCTGCAGCATTTCCAAAAGTATCTCAGTTGACCGAGTTTTGTTAGTTAAATTGGTTGTATCCTTCTTCAGATTTCCAACCACTTTCCTGAGAAGTGTGGTTTTAGTCTGAAAAGACTGTACCATTTCTATAAATGCCTCATTCTTACCCTATTGTCAAACCATATTTTTACAAAAAAAAATATTGAGGACAAGACTAATCCTCAGAATCAGAAATAGTGATGTAGAAGGGACATCATATAAGTCCTGTAAAACCTTGCACATGGTATAAGTAAAGAGGCTATTTAAACCTTAATGATTAGGTTCTCTGACATATTACCCTTTTAAATTAGCAACTTATGATCTATATTTAGGATATTAAATCTTACATGTGGTTTAATCAGCTGGATTGGGTACAACTTGCCAGTTGTACCTGCCAGTAGGTGTTGTGGGCCACCTACAAAACTAACCCAGCAGTCTGAAATATGATTTGAGAGTGAAATCCTGAAAGATAAACCACTGACTGTGTGCTCTGCAGATGTCTCTAGAGCAGTGGAATAGGCAAATGCAAACAAACCATTAGAAAGCTACAGAACAGCTGGCTCAGACCAGGGAAACCTGCATCTCACTCAAATGTCTGTGGTGTGCCCTGGTGGGAGGCAAATAGTAAGGTGCATGAGGACTTGAAGCCGAAAGAGAAAATATAAAGGATGGCAGCTGATCTGTAGCAAGAAAAGCTGCTGTGCAAGATTCTATATTGAACTGCTCTTTCCACACACAGGCTGCGGCCGGCTGAGGGAGGGCTCATGCCAAACTGGGCACACTCCGAGCTGGCAGTGGGCAGCAGAGCTGGGGGTTCTAAAACCAAACGTTGACACCAGATGAAGGTGTAAGTCATAAAACAATCGCATACCAGTTCAAAATTACAGATAATAGAAGGGCTATTTATTTAAGGGGAAAACTTACAGATCACTGTCCTAGACAACAGCCCTCTGCATTGCCAGGAACAGAGTCTAGCAGCTGGAAGTGGGAGCGGGGTATCTTTGTGTATGTGAATTGGTCTCCTTTTTGTAGGAAGTCGAAAAACAGACTAGAAAATATTCTTTATTTTTCTCAGGCATTGAATTCTGCTATTATTTAAGTTCATTTATAAATTTTGTTTTATAAACTTTACTGTAGTGAGATTGAAAACCCACAATCACTGGGCGGTGGTGGCACATGTCTTTAATCCCAGCATCCGGGAGGCAGAGGTAGGCAGATCTCTGTAAGTTCGAGACCAACCTGGTCTACAAGAGCTAGTTCTAGGACATCTGGGGCTGTTACAAAGAAACCCTGCCTCAAAAAACCAAAAAAAAAAAGAGAGGAAGGAAGGAAAGAAGGAAGGAAAGAAGAAAGGAAGGAAGGAAGGAAGGAAAGAAGAAAGGAAGAAAGAACCCTTATAATCATTTGGTAATTTGAAAGAGATGACTGACTGCTCTCCTAACGCCTCTAAATATACTTTTATAGGGTGCATTGCATTCCTTTCTAGGGCTATTTTTATATATCTCAGCTCCCATAAGGGGCCATAAACTTCTTTAAGATAAAGGTCTTCCAAAATACAACATCCCTTCATGATAAAGATCTTGAAGAGAGCAGGGATACAAAGACCATACCTAAACATAATAAAAGCAATATACAGCAAGCCAACAGCCAACATCAAATTAAATGGAGAGAAACTCCCAGAAATCCCACTGAAATTAGGAACAGGATAAGGTTGTCCACGCTCTCCATATCTATTCAATATAGTTCTTGAGGTCCCAGATAGAGTAATAAGACACCAAAAGGAGATCAAGGGGATACAAGTTGGAAAAGAAGAAGTCAAACTCTCACTGTTTGCTGATGATATGATAGTTTACATAAGTGATCCCAAAAATTCTACCAAGGAACTTCTACAACTCATAAACCCTTTCAGCAATGTATCAGGATACAAGATTAACTAAAAAAAAATCAGTAGTGACAAAAATTTGTCACAATAGTGACAAATAGTATAAAATATCTTGGAGTAACTCTATCCAAACAAGTGAAAGACTTGTATGACAAGAACTTTAAATCTTTGAAAAAAGAAATTTGAAGAAGACACCAGAAAGTGGAAAAATCTCCCATAGTCTTGGGTAGGCAGAATTAACGTAGTAAAAATGGCAATCTTACCAAAAGCAATGTATAGATTCAACGCAATGCCCATCAAAATCCCAGCAAAATTCTTCAAAAACCTCAAAAGAATGGTATTCAACTTCATATAGAGAAGCAAAAATCCCAAGATAGCCAAAACAATCCTGTACAATAAAAGAATTTCTGGAGGCATCACCATCCTTGCCTTCGAACTCTACTACAGAGCTACAGTACTGAAAACAGCCTGGTATTGGCATTAAAAGAGACAGGAGGACCAATGGAACTGAATAGAAAACCCAAATATCAATTTCCACATCTTTGAACACCTGATTTTTGACAAGGAAGCAAAAATTATCAGATGGATAAAAGAAAGCATATTTAACAAGGGGTGCTGGCACAACTGGATATCAACATGTAGAAGAATGAAAATAGACCCAATTCGATCACCATGCACAAAACTCAAGTCCAAATGGATCAAAGACTTGAACATAAAGCCAGCCACACTGTACCTTATAGAAGAGAAAGTGGGAAGTACACTTGAACACATTCACAGGAGACCACTTCCTAAATATAACCCCAGCAGCACAGACACTGAAAGAAACAATTAATAAAAGGGACCTCCTGAAACTGAAAAGCTTCTGTAAAACAAAGGACAAGGTCAACAAGACAAAATGACAGCCTACAGAATGAGAAAAGATTTTCACTAACCCCATATCAGACAGAGGTCTGATCTCGAAAATATACAAAGAACTCAAGAAATCGGACACCAAAAGAACACAAAATCCAATAAAAAATGTGGAATATAGACCTAAACAGAGAACTCTCAACAGAGGAATCTAAAATGGCCGAAAGACACTTAAGGAAATATTCAACATCCTTAGTCATCAGAGAAATACAAATCAAAACAACTCTGAGATTCCATCTTTCACCTATAAGAATGGCCAAGATCAAAAACACTGATGACAATTTATACTGGAGAGGTTGTAAGGTAAAGGGAACACTTCTGCATTGCTGGTGGAAATGAAAGCTGGGACAACCCCTTTGGAAGTCAGTGTGACAATTTCTCAGAAAATTAGGAAACAACCTTCCTCAAAGACCCAGTAATATACCCACCTTTGGGTATATATCCAAAGGATGCTCAATCATGCCACAAAGACATGTGCTCAACTATGTTCATACCAGCATTGTTTGTCATAGCTAGAACCTGAAAATAACCTAAATGCCCCTCTTCCATAGAATGGATAAGGAAAATGTGGTACACTTACACAATGGAGTACTACACAGCAGAAAAAAATAATGGTATCTTGAATTTTGCAGGCAAATGGATGGACCTAGAAAACATTATTTTGAGTGAGGTAAGCCAGACACAGAAAGACAATCATCACATATAGTCACTCATAGGTGGTTTTTAAACATGAAACGAAGAAATCCAGCCTGCAAATCACAATCCCAGAGAATTTAGACAATGTGGACACTAAGAGAGACTTACATAGATCTAATCTACATGGGAAGTAGAAAGTAGAAAAAGACAAGATCTCCTGAGTAAATTGGGAGCATGGGGACCTTGGATAAGGGTTGAAGGGAGGAGGGGAAAGGCAGGGAGGGGAGCAGAGAAAAATGTAGAGTTCTATAAAAATCAATAAATTTTTTTAAAAAAATTATTGAATGATTTAGAGGTGCTGGGCATGTTGAAGGAGCCAAGAACCCATGGGACAGCATGACACCTCCCTAGAGGCTTTCTGTCTGAGGAATTATAATGTCCAGCCTGGGTTTCTGCTGATTGTTGCAAAACTCCTATGTAGTAACCCATTCTGAAATGTTGCCAACTATATATTTGAAGGGTGAGCAACAACACTTGGTTTTTTCAAGTTTAAGTAGAGAATTAATTACTAAGGTTGACATTATATACTTAAGGATAGTAAATTTAATAAAATGGCATAAAAAGGATGTTCAAATACTGGGTTAGCTCAGACTGTAGAGCTTGGGACTCTTAAAAATGCTCGTGTTATTTTATGTAGATAGATAGATAGATAGATAGATAGAAAAAGGTCTTCAAAATTCTGTGTAAAATGTAGGATCTTAAAGAAAATACATGAGAAGCAAATAATGGGTGAGTTCAGGAAGCATGTAAATGAGGGTCTGTGGCTTGAATTCTAATCCCACTCCACCAGTGTTAGCCATGTAACTCATATGTTTGCAGCTCCACATTTTCATCTTTACGATAAAAGCAGTGACCATGCATATTCACAGAAACAATAGAATTTTAAATGAGTACTCAGCCCTAAATGGGACATCTGCATCACACTCTTCTCAAAGATCAGGAATCCCTAAGGAAGAGGAGAAGGAGAAAATATAGGAGTCAAAGGCAGTGGAGGACCACAACCATACAGTGCTTTCAGAACACAGCAGGGAAGCTCCACATGGGAAAGAGCTCACATTAGCTGCCGCAGCATTCACAAGATTCGGCCAAGCAAAATCTAATCATGGAGGGGGGAGGTGGTCAGGATTTCCCATCCTAGCTGAGACATGATTGGTAATTATTGGTTGTGGAGGGGGAAAGTTAGTTTACTTAGAAAAGGATGTAGCCTCCATCAGGCTACCTGTGTTACAGTAGATGGGCCCATACTCATGAATATGCTACCAAATCTGAGTGGACTCAGTGGGTTAAAAGAAAGAAAGGAAGAAAAAAAAGAAAGAAAGAAAGAAAGAAAGAAAGAAAGAAAGAAAGAAAGAAAAAAAGAAAGAAAGAAAGAAAGAAGGAAGGAAGGAAGGAAGGAAGGAAGGAAGGAAGGAAGGAAGGAAGGAAGAGAGAGAGAGAAAAGAAAGAAAAGAGAGAAACCACATACAGTTGGGAAGCAATAGCTGTGGGAATCTAGGAAGGAACTGGAGCAGAGGGAATGGGGGTGGAGTTGATTAAAATACGTTGTACGCAAGTTCAAAACTCTCCAACAATAAAAGCCCAGCCTGAAAACTGTTGTAACTAATCAAGTTGGATCACAAGGTTTGTCAGTTTGTTTGCTTTTTAAAGATATCTTTAAGAAAAGATTGACACCAAAATGAAAGCTTTAATGGAGAGCTTAGAACACAGCAAGGGCTTGAAAAGTCCTTACGTTTATTGTTCTGGTCCCCTGAGGTCTCCGTAGGGCAAATTATATTGAAGACATTGTTGTGCACATTCCAAAAGGCAGCTGCAGAAGAGACCCACAGAATCTCTGAACCTGCGTTCTCTGCAGACATTGTGCATGAAGTGTGGCCTGGCGGAAGCTCTGCTATGGGGAGGCTCTCCGCCATTCCCTTTCAAGATTATGGGTCTGCTGGCTTCTGAGTGGAACATCCACATGTTCGACGTTGTTGGGCAAAGGGTAGCGCCGGGGGACCACTTCTGGTGTGACACCTGCGTGACCCTTGTACCACCCAAGCAGGAAATTTGTGCTGTGCTTCCGGAACGCCTTCGGCACCTGGGCTGGGAAGACATTGGGCTGTTTGGAGGCTCCTCAGGGGCTTCCCCCAGCGATGGAGTGGATGAGTTGTGGGGGCTGTTGAGGATGAGTGCCAGCTGTATTTTGCCATCACTGCCAGCAGGAAGTACAGCAGCAGCAGCCCAGACCTTCTGCAAGAAGACCTCGGAAGAGTGGCATCTGTAGCCAGAAGTAAGTTGGCAAGAATCTTCCTTTGCTTGTGTTTGAACGTTGTTTAGAAACAGCTTCGGTCTCTGGCTTCACACCTATTTCTCTGTAAGAATAAAAAACAGGTAGACACAAGGTACCAACTTAATGATACATTAGAGCAATCTCGTTATATATATAACATTTATGTTTTATGTGGTATGAATTCTCAGCTGTTACAGTCCTAAACTCTACAGTGTAAGTAGACGCATATTACTGGTAATCTGGGTCTTGGACTTTGTTATGGAGAACATGGAGTTTGTTATGGAGGCAGAGATACTTAGTTTTCATTCAATCCTCCCCACTTTCTAGCTGTGTGTCTCTGGAGAAGTATCCTAACCTCTCTGTGCCTTAGACACCCTCTCTACTAAATAGAGACAATCATCATACTTCTCTCCTGGGAAGGCTGGGACTAAATAGGGTTATATGTGGGAAGGGCTCAGCACCATGTCTGAATGGCTAGTTGGCCGACAGATGGCAGCAATCACTCTAGTGGTACTGTGGAGAATGCCTTGATTAGCCACTGGCTCTTCTGTGTTCTCAAGGAACTCATTATTCATGACCTTGGAATATTGGGATTTGCCAAATCCTTGTACTCAGAGTGTCACCCATGGCCACCTTTAGGAGCTTTCCCTCAGCCTTCCCAGCTCAGTCCCAAGTCCCCCTCCTCAGGGAGGCCTTCTCTGAACCTGAGGTCAGATCCTTGCCTCTCTCTGGTGAGAGTATTCAGTCTTCCCTAATCTCTCCACTCTACTCTGCCTGGAACTCCAAAAATATCTAGAGCTTGGTACTCAACTGTTGACTATTTTGTAAGGTTCTGGAATCTTTAAGGCAGTGGTTCTCAACTTTCCTGATGCTACGACCAAGGATATAAGAGTTAGCTAGCAATATGCTTAAGTGATTGGCCAAAAAGTGATTTAAATAATAAAATTTCTGTGTGATTATTTCGGGAGTCTGGGCAGTCGGGAAAAGAGTCTAAGCACTGGGGAACAAACAAGTGGCCTCCTCCAACAATTATCCTCTCAACTTTAAAAACCAAGACATAGGTTAAGTGAGCGAGATGCCTCATCTGTGATCTCAACTCTCCCAAGTTGCCCAGCTGATGTTTCAGACTGAGTCTTTTCATTTGTTAGTTTTTTTTTTTTTTTACAGAAAAATAAGTAGAAGCCCAGAGAGATGAAATAACTTATCCAATGATGCAAAGCTACCACAAGAATATTCTGGTCCTCAGTATTTGTATTCTAGACCCCAAGGTCTTCACATATTACACTAAAGGCATCTAGAAGGACCGCTTGACTTTCTTTCACTGTGTTTCCGTGGTGTAATTTTCAGTAGGTTTTGCTTTCTAAAACGAGCTTATTTTATATAGTCAGAAGGAACTAAAAGGGGCCAAGTGGATGTAGACAGGGATAATAATGACTATATTTTTCTTCCTTTCATCGGGAAGTATTGGGTGGTCAAACTGCCTCAGATTTCTTTGGGTGGCAGCTGGAAATCTACCTCTCTACTTCCCAGGATATCCTCCTGCCCTTTCTTCACGTTCCCCTCATCTCTACTTGCAGGCAGATGGTGAGAGGAGAGGATGGAACAACGTTTAGGATTGTCAGAGAACCCCTTCCAACCCTTCCTTCTTCCTTGTAAAACTGTAATGATCACTTCCAACCACTTTATAGTACAGGAAGAACACAGAGTATAAATTATGCCATGAAACATCCATACAATTGAGTTCATCCTGCTTCTTAAAACAATGCACAGATCCATTTGATAAAATCAGCTAGGTCTATGTTGCAAAAAAAGAAAAAAAATCAAACTGCAGAGCAACAATCTTAGTTATGTAAAATACATTCTTTGTATGTATATGTATCACATACCTATGCATGCGTGCTTCTAAATATGCTTATACTAGGGAATTTGGGATACATGCAGTAAGAGGTATTTGTCAGAGATATTAACACAGATGATAGCAATGGTACTGAACCCTGAAACCACAAGGCAAAATGGAGACCAGACTGTCCTAAACATGGTCAGCTCAGTGATCTTTGCTGTTACATAAGCTTTCTGTGTCTTAGGTCCTTGGTGCTCCACTATCTTCTTCCTTCTTTACTCTTTGACTTACTTCCTTCTGCTTGCGTGCCAGCCAGCAAACATGGACCCAGGATTAGAGCACCTTCTGAGTTTATTTCATTTCCAAGAATCAGCATCTGACAGCAATTAGAGTTCTGTGCTGCCCTGAATGTAGTTGGGACCCATGGATCTTTTCCTAAGGCACGGTGAAATTTACTGTTACTTTTTAGGATAGTGTTTGGAAAGAAGTGCTGAGAAATGACAAGGGGACAGGCTTCCCCAAAGTCTATGAGTCGGTGTTTCTCATTGCCCCTTGCTCCTATGGAGATGGCGGCTCCCGCAAACAAGCCTGCAAGAGGCAAAGGGGGCTGCCCGTCCAAAGCTCCATTGCCTCCGAGGAGCAGGTCTGGTAGTAGTTTGTGTACAGGCAATTGTGCTTTTATCTTTCTTAATTCTGCCTCACCTGACCCCACAACACACACACCATTGTCTTCTTTAGCCTAAATTAAACAGTGGTTTGATGATCTTTTGTGAAGTCCATGCCCATGACCACAGAGTTATGGGATGGGAAGCTACTGTGGAGCCTTGGACTAAATTACTCTATTTCCTCATAGCTGGGTCTCCTCAGACACGAACCAGAACCATGAATGGCATCTGCCTTCCAGGCTGGCCCTGAGTATCTGCCAATACACTATGTTGATGTAGCAAATGAGTTGCCATTGGGTCCTCAGGCTGTCCCGATTACCTTTTTCAGGAGGACAACAGGACAAATAGCCAGGGTGGAACAGTCAAATACAGAACCTGCACAGTTCAGTCAAACAGATTGGCTCTGTCAGAGCAGTCATGAAGGAATAATAGACAGAGAAATATGAGTGTGTACACAAGAACACGGGGAAGGTTTTACAGAGAACACCGGCAAGAGAGGGGGTTACTCCCACTCTGGGGCCACGCTGAGACACTGAAGACAGGGTTTGACGAAGAAGGAGGGTTGGACTGTGGACCCTACCACGGTGAAAAGATGGCTTATTTCTGGGTATCTCTCTTTTCCAGCTGCTGTAGGGGTGTTGGAGGGAGTGAGCCACTTGTTGGTTCTTGGCTGCTCAGCCCTGAAATAATCACACAGAAACTGTATTAATCAAAACTGTATTAATTAAATGCTTGGCCCATTAACTCTAGCTGCTTATTAGCTAACTCTTACATATTAATTTAACCCATCTCCATTAATCTGTGTATCACCATGTGGCAGTGGCTTATCAGCTAAAGTTCCCAGCATTTATCTCCAGCAGCTCCATGGCTTCTCTCTACTTCGCCCTTCTTTTCCCCAGCATTCAGCCTACCTTTCCCTGCCTACCTAAGTCCTGCCTTGCTATAGGTCCAAAGAAGTTTCTTTATTCATTAATGGTAATCATAGCACACAGAGGGGATTCCCACATCACCTCCCCTTTTCTGTTTAAAAGGAAGGTCTTAACTTTAACATAGAAAATGACATAGGGGAAAAACACCTAGCACTGAGTAGACACCTATGAAAGCAGACCGATACAGTACTGTAAACACATGCAAAACACTAGACATTTTTTGATATATATGTACACATATACACACAATCAGTTCTTTGCTTTTGTCTGTGTCATTCAAGAAAGGGTCTCTCAGTGAAACCCTGGCTATCCTGGAACTAGTTCTGGAGACCAGACTGGTCTTGAACTCACAGAGATCTGCTTACCTCTCCCTTCTGAAAGCTAGGATTAAAGGCGTGGATCACCACTTCCCAGTCAAAATCAGTTCTCCCCCATGGACTGTGTAGATGACAACATCCTATTATGATGTCAGAGCTTTCTGAACTCACAAAGATCCACTTTGGGCTTTAAGGGGGTTTTGCTGAGATTGTGGGTATGACCCTTTTCAGGCTTCCAGGGCAGAATACAGAAACACAATATCCCAGTTGTGGCTACTTAGGGATTTTGACTCCTTTGATGCCCCAGCTGGATCCCATTTCCAGTGGTGTCCAGAAGAAGCCCTGACCCCCTAAGGCAGTGAATCATGGAGACATCTACAGGCCCAAGCCCACATTCAGTAAAGTCACTTTCCTATAAAGTCTGCCTCCCAGAGACTCATATGGACATCAGGACCCTCCCTGTGCTGTTCTGGGCTCCCAGGAAGTCCTACAAAAGTCCTTTGTATTGTTTTCTCAGCTACAAACCAGTGAGGAAATGAAAAGGAATTCTAGTGCTTCAGGATGTCTACCTGTCCACTGTGGTGAACCCAAATTCTATGTAAGACATTTTTCATCCCTTATTTTTTGAGAAAAGTAAAGTCCAACATAGGCCAGCACAAAAACAAAGTAACTATAACAAACCAAATCTTCAGTTTGGTAGGAGAGTGTATGTTTCATGCAGGCAGTGATATTTGGTCTGTGAACTATCAAAATCCTTGCTATGCGTTAAGATCTGTCTACGCCAAGTATGGTTGACATCTGTAGCACTGGTGTAAGACCTTTGTAAGACATGGTGTAAGCTACAAGACTGGGAGCTATTCTACCTGGGGAAAAAAGACATTGCTTTCCCTGAATTACATGACTAGAGGTTAGATTTGAAGTTTAAAGGGTCTTGGGAAATAGAAAAACACTCAACAGGCCACCAGAGGTTTGAATTAGGGGACTGAAGTCTGTTTGCTTTGTTCTTGTTTGTTTATCCATGTGTGCATACATTCACACATGTGCACATGTGTAAAATGACGGCCGGCTTGTTGGGGTTTTCGTCCCGCCCGGTACCCCACAGCCGCCAAGTCTCAGAGAAAATCAATCACACAGAGATCTCTGTAAGTTATAAAGCTGATTGGCCCATTAGGTCAGGCTACTTATTAGTTCTTATGACACATATTACCCCATTATCCTTATCTACGTTAGCCATATGGCTTGGTACCTTTTTCAGCTGGGCAAGTTACATGCTGTCTCTTCGGTGGTCTGCACAGAACTGGCAGAAGGAGCTTCCTAGACTACTCCCAGTCTCTTTGCTCCACCTCTACTTCCTGTCTGGCTTTCCTGCCTGTACTGCCTGCCTGGCCAATCAGTGTTTTATTAAAATATGATTGACAAAATACAGATAATTCTCCTGCACCACACATGAATGGGGGTCATGTTCATGCCAGGGTTTGAATGCGTTTCTACAAGAACAACTTCAGGGAGTTAGTTATGCCCTTTTATCATGAGAGTCCCAGGGTCTCAACTGGGTCATTAGACTTCCCAGCAGGTACCAGTGTGGCCCACAGAGACGCCTCTCTCTAGTCTCTGGTTTGTTGTTTGAATGTGTCTCTCAGCTGCTCTTACTGTGTATGAGGTGAAGACTGGTGGCAGAAACACACTGAACACGGACCTTTGTCTTTTCTGCTTTAAAGGCCTTGGAGGAATGCCTCCAATATCTCTTGGCTCCATGGCTTCCTTCCTGAAGACAGACCCAGCTTGGATTTCATGCAGAGCTTTGCAAAACTGAACCTCCTACTGTAACAGGCAAGCATGACAGCTCAGAGGAGGTAGCAGGGACGGTTTCTCAACAACGCTATCTTTGGGGCCAGAAAAAGCTGTCTTGTGCTTGTGGACAGTGAGAAGTAGCACCCTCCAGCTAGAACTGAGTGTTTTCCGATACCATCAGTGTCTCCCAGGGGCACCATTGCCCACCTTCTCTCTAGGGAACATTGGCTCCTGAGAGTTGAGTCTTAGAGCTTCCTTCAAGGAGGCAGAAATAATCTGGGCAGGAGGAAATAGCTGAATGACTGGTTAGGAGTCTGACTTTTCAATTAGATATATCATGCCTGGAGAATGCATAGTATGTGTTCAACCCAAGTGTTGGAAGTCATTCCTATGTTCTTACTATAGAAGTTTCTGTTAACAAAAAATGAAGCGACTCTACTGGCCATGCTAGCACGGTAGGATCCCAGGGACATGCTTACTTCTGCTCATAGGTGGGCCCAAGTAATGGCTGTCTTTACCTCTAGGTATGGCTGCACCTGCTGTGGTTCTCACGGGGACAATCCTGGTTCTTGCTACAGTGGCTGCCATTGCTGGTCTGGTGTTATGGATGCTGAGAGAAAAAGTGCAGTCGTCATGGAAACACCTTACGGCAGATCCGTTATGACAACATCACTGTTTTGCCTCAGCACAAGGTGAGGCCACACACTTCCCTGGTGACTTGCAAAGGGACCTCCATAGGAACTTATGAGGGATAGGGCGGTGACTCATTGGTCAAGTGAACAATCGGAAGAGTCTCAAGACCTGAGGTAAGTCTCTAGGTTACATTTGTCTGAGAATACTTTCCTGTCTCCAAAAACTCAAATTTTAACATTAAACTACATCTGTCTCTATTATACATCTGTACAACGCACCCACATCCCCATTCCTCCTTCCACCTCTCTCACCCAAAACATCTTCATTTCTCTCCCGACTTCATGCCCCCCCAACACTAAGTCCATACTCAAATGTGTGTGAGGTCACCCACTGGGGCATGGGCAGCCTACCGGTGGCCACCTACTCTACTCTGGAAGCGACTCTTTCTCCCTCAGCAACTAAAACTTCCCAGAGCTCCTTCATGCTCCGTGTTGGACTTTTAAACCAGCTCAGTCTCCTGCTGAGTTTGTGCTGGTAACCACGTGTCTGGGAATTCCCCAAGGCCGGCCTTCCACTCGTCTAGCACTTACAGTCTTACAGTCCCCTCTTCCACAACGCTCCCCGAACCTTGGGGGGTGGTGGTTGATATACGGTTCCATCGGTGGCCAAGACTTGGCTTTTGACTCTTTAGAAATGACTGGTAGTCTTCTAAGGCTCAGCACTTCTGTTGGGGTGTTCCTGTGGAGCCTCTAGTCCTATTAACCCCTTTAACCTACCAATGTGTGCTACAAATAGTTCATTTATAGAACACTCCTAGCTGTCTCCCATCCAGGGTAGCTCAAGCACAGGTCAAGGCTTCAGGGTGCCCCAGAGGGATGGAGAGGGATGTCTCTATGGTGAGGTGGAAGCCATGAAATGAAGAGAAACTAGAAGGTTTCTGAGAGGAGGAGCCATTCAGGATGAATGAATTGCTAGCAATGCCAAGGAGAGAAGTCACACAGAATGTCAGAACATCAGGATATTAGAACATGTCATGCTGAAGGCTAGGAAGAGTGGCTGGTACCATGTCTGGGAGATTTCGGTGTCCTAAAACCAAGAGATGGGTTTCTATTAGTCAGGCTACTTCCAAATGTCCCCCAGGGATCTGGGTTTCCTCTTCCCTCTCCACACCCAGAGCTGTAATCTGATTTGCCTGATTTTGTACGTAAGGGTTCCATCAATATTCACCTAAACAGGATTAGGCTCCTATGTTCCGAAGGTGTGAGAAGTGCTGGAAATATTAAACGTGGAGATAACCAAGCCTCGCTCTGGAAAGTGACTCCCTCCCGGCTCTCCTAGAGTACCACAGCTAGAACATGAATGTAGGCAGTTTGGCCTTAGAGCCTGTCCTACCGTGGTAGTGCTGAGGCCAAGAATGAGGCATGTAGCAAGTAGATACATTTTGGATCAGAAAGATCAGAGTTTAAGCACTGGCTTTTCTAGGTATTAACTATGTGATCTCATAATTTATCCTCCTTTGTAAACAGAGGTTTCCTTGTCCTGCCCTACCCTGCAGCCACTTCTAAATAATCACTCAGAAGCTTAATATTAATTACAAACTGCTGGGTTTATAGTTCAGGCTTATTACAAACTGTCTCTTACATCTAAATTAACTCATCTCTATTAATCTATACATTGCCTCTTGGCCTTGGCGTTACTGGTCCTCTGGCATCTTGTTTCTTGGACAGCTGGCTTGCGCCTCTCCCAACTCTGTCCTTCTTTTTCCATGTAATCAGTTTGGCTTTCCCACCTAGTTATGCACTGCCTTGCTATAGGTCAAAGTAACTTTTATTATTAACTGATGAGAGCAACATATATTCATAGCATTCAGAAGGGCTATCCCGTAGCATTTCCCTCTTTCTGTCTAATCAAAAAGGAAGGTTTAACTCTAACATAATAAAATTATAAACAATAAAAAAGTTATCAAGTAAGACTTACAGTTACAATATCTACTCTATTTGTATTTGAAAAAATTAACAATATTTAATTATCTATCCTATCTTGGTGAGTTTAAAGTATTATTCTAATTTACATCTTTGTCATAACAAAGAAAAATTATAACTATCTAGTCTTCAACTCCATCCAAGATTTGAGATGTAAATAATATTATTACCTGAGTAAGGAGGAAATGCAGGCAAGTGACTTCAAAGAGTGTAAGAAATGACAAAAACTGCTGGCTGCCTAAACAGTCACCCAAGTTTCCTCTGTAACGTTGAAACATCATCTTTGGCCTACAGGTCCAGCGTATCTGATGGACTTTTTTGTGAAGCAGGATTTTTTTTTAAAGAAAATAATCCATGTATTTATTTTATGTAAGTTTTTTGTTGTTTTTAATTGACCTATATATTTTTCTCCGCTCCCCTCCCCTCCACTCCCCTCCCCTCCTACTCCCTGCCGTGGTCCCCATGCTCCCAATTTACTCAGGAGATCTTGTCTTTTTCTACTTTCTATGTATATTTGATCCATGTATGGCTCTCTGAGGGTCCTCATTGTTGTCTAGGTTCTCTGGGATTGTGAATTGTAAGCTGATTTTTCTTTGCTTTATTTCTAAAAGCCACTTATGAGTGAGTACATATGATGTTTGTCTTTCTGGGTCTGTGTTACCTCACTCAATATTATGTTTTCTAGCTCCATCCATTTGTCTGCAAATTTCAAGATGTCATTATTTTTTTCTACTGTGTAGTACTACATTGTGCAAATTTTTCTTATCCATTCTTTGGTTGAGGGGCATTTAGGTTGTTCATAGGTTTTGGCTATGACAAACAATGCTGCTATGAACATAGTTGAGCACATGTTCTTGTGGTATGATTGAGCATCCTTTGGATATATAGAATCAGGGAAATTTGAATGACTGTTTACCTTGCTTTGGAAAAGTTTGTCATTCATCTTTCTTGTGTCTGACTGACCCAGTTTGGACAGTAACTGTCAGCAATTGAAGCAAGGGCACATTCTGTGCCCACATGTCAAGGTTTTACCATGAAGAAAATAAATTCCATATAGAGTTTCTGCAATGCTCATAATCTTTTCTGGAGTACATTGGTGCTATCAGGAGCTGACATGTCTCACTGTCATGAAAAATCTAAGTTATTAAAAGATTTTAAATGCCATTTTATGTAGGTCTTCGAAATGTTTGAAGAATACCTATCTATCTGAAATATATCTTTGTATATGTAGAAAATCTTACTAATAAGACTATAAGTTTGACTATTATAGATGATTAATTGCATTTTTATAAATTGGTGTTTTTAATTATGCCATACATTTTAATTGAGCTATAAAGATATAATACCTTAAACAAGAGTAAAAATAAAGAGAGAGCATAACAAAGTTAAGCTTAAATTTATATCAATAAACCAAAAACCATACCTATGTAAAATATTTTGAGATTAACAGTTGTTTTATGGATTAAGGTCGATTCAATAATCTACCCATTTATCCTATTTCTGTATCAGTCCTGAGAGCAGCCAAGCTGTGCCTTGTTTTCCAGCCATGCCAACGAGGCACAGCTGTGTCACGGAACAGCGTTAGCAGCACATGTGCCGTGAAGATTTCTGCAGATCGTAGGTTCTTCATCAGGTGCCCACAGGGTGGAGAGATGTTTATGCCCCTATGGGACTTTACCAGGTTCTTCTGTGCATATGAAAGTTAATGTGAATGTCTGTCCTGCTCTCTAATTAAATTTGGTTGGACCAGGCACTATGAATACAAGGACATCTTTCAAGCAAAATCCCAGGTGCTTTGTGTCTCCAGACTGGTGTTTCTCTAACTTTGAGAACTTAAACACAGTAAATTTTTTAAAAATGCAGAAAAAGTCTGTACAAATATTACATCTTACTTTAAAAAGAACTTAAGAAATGTTTCTATAGTGAAGATTTGGGGCCAGCAGAGTGGAGGCTGAGATTCTGCATTTTGACAAGCTCACCTGTGATTCCTATACTCGTGATTTGATCAGACATAGAACTCCCAGTAGAACCTTCCGTGGTGATGGCAATGCCCCAAAGCTACGATCACCACTAGCTACAGGCTACTGAACACTAGTGTCTCCAGGGGAACTGAATGTTAGCGGTAATTACATTTAAATAGCTAGGGAGCTGCAGTGTTGACTTGGCCAATACAGTTCTCATTGCATACGCATGGGGACCTGAGTTTCAGTCCCCAGCACCCACATAGGACAGCAACCAGGAGTGGCAACACATGCCTACGACTCCAGTGCTGGAGAGATAGAGACAGACTTGCTAGCCAGTCAGTCTGGCTGACCTGATGAGCTTCAGGTTCAGCAAGAGACCCTGTTTCAAAAGTAAGGTGGAAACCAATATAAGAAATCCCCCAACACTGACCTCTGGTACCATATGCATGCCCATTTGTAGACACACAATTTAAGTAGTCCCATGTGGCCAGTAGCAAACTTAGTAGGTAGCGCAGTCTCAGAGTGTGAATTTTATTCCAGACTTTAATGACTCTGGTGGCCACTGATACCTCTGCAGTGCGAAACTGGCCTGCTATGGAAGCTCAGGCATGACTTCCCCCATCCTTTCTCAGTTGGCCTTGAATGCCCCAGGGCACACGCTGAGTCACCCTCTTAAAGCTCAGCTGCCTTTGGGGAAGGCTGAATAGGTCCTGGGAAATGGAGGCAGAAAATGCCAAGCAAAGCAATCACTGACTGCTGCTCTAAAGTGCGGTTTCAATTTCTGGCAGTGTCAAGTCTGCTTTGTCTTCCCCACCCCAGCGGGAACCTTCCCCTCGTCCCTCAGGTTTCAGCAAGGCATCGCTTCTTCCAGGAATCTCTTCCTCAGTCCCCACAGGCCTCCCTTCCTCCATAGGAGTCCTGTCTCCATCCCGAACCCTTCTCCGTTGCTTCTGCACGGAAAGATACTGAACTGATCTGAGCTTTGCCTTCCCTGGGGTTTGCTGACCACATCGTTCCTTCTGATCAGCTCCTCCCTCATCATTGCATGCGTTTTGTCTGGGGATTGAGAGACTCTAAAAGCAGACACAATAGGTAACAAAAATAAAACGTGCCATTTCACACAAGCTCGATGTGCCAAGCGTTGCTCTAACTCATCCCATCCTTCCCCAAACCATACAACTTTGGTGGCGGTGGCCCCTGACACTTTGCAGGGCAAGAAAGAGAGGCTGGGAAAAGCTAAACTGAACTGCCACAATGGACTTGAACTAGGCACCTGACTCCAGATATAGGGCGTCAACATACTGTTTTCTTGGATGAAACATAGAAGAGAGATCTGGTCTTGGAATCAGATATTCAGATCTGGCTGATGACCACACATGTGCCTCCCCGGACAAGCTACCCAGCCTCAGTGATCCTGTTTAGACGGGGCTAACCACAGCTACCTTGAAGGGCTGTGATGGCAGTTGAAGGAGCCCTTACTGCTAAACAGTTATTGTCCTGGACCAACCACAGTGTCACCAAGGGGGTTGACTGGTCAGTGAGGAGCTGGATGCTATCTCCCATAGATGGCTTTCTCCTCAGTTTTCTCATTCCCCTTTCTCGCCTTTTCTGGATCATCCTGAGTTAGGAACATTCTACTTTGGGACTGGAGAAACGACTCAGGGGTTAAGAGCACTGGTTGCTTTTCCAAGAACCTGAGTTTGATTCTTAACACACCCATGGCAGCTCCCATTCCAGGAGATCTAATGCCCTCTTCTGTTCTCTTCAGGCACTGTACACATGTGGTGTACAGACATACATGCAGGCAAAAACACTTATGCATTTAAAATAGTAAAAGGAAAAAATAACTCTACTTGTTTCTGATTCCAGGGAAATCATATGACCCTCTGCTATATTGATGACGCAGCAGAAACGTGTCTTAAGAAGCCAACTGTGCTGCAGGAAGTCTGGCCCCTCTGCCCCACAGCCTTCGGTTCCCACTGTGAGAAGTGGCCTTCTTCCCAAAGGTTCAAAGGTGGAAAGGTGTTTCCTAGTTTGACGCATTGTTCTTTCTCTGGGGCAGGGACCTGGACCTCAGACTCTTTGCTCTTAGAAAGGAACCTGAAGCCTGGCTCCCTCCTACCTCTACCTGCCCCCTTTCCTTTTCCTTAAGGGCCTTAATTCTGACCCTTCATCCTGCGTCTGTGGTGGTTGCCTGCTTCCTTTTGCACTTGGATCTTGGGGAGGGTTTGACGCTTTGCACTGGGTCAGTGACCCGATGTCACGTACTGGCATTAACAGTCACAACCAGGGGAGCAGTGGAGGATCCATCTGTGATGATAAGGTTTAATTACTACCCATGGCTTGGATTGGACTTTGATACCCCCCTGGTTTGTTTGCCAGACTTCTGGGTTTTCTTCCTAGCTGTGCTGTTTGTCAGTTTAATCCCTTCAACGAGTTGCATCACCGTTCAGGCACCTGTCCCTTTGCCTGGAAAATGGAAGGACTTCTCTCATAGCACCTTGGCAATTGACTTAAAAGGGGTAAAGCACACAGTATGGTCACTACATGAGGTCAGTCTCCATACATAATGATGTTGCCACTATGATGTCCAGATGTGTGAATTAAAGTATGAAAGCATCGTTCCCTTCTTTGCTGTGTGCACAGAAGCACCTAACACCTGCATTGTCACACAGTGTTGCAATAGAGGAAGTCTGAAGGTAAGCAAAAGTATTAACTCTTCTGTCGGTCTTCACTAGCCAGAGAGTGGAAAACCTTACCCATCTCTCTCCCATTCATCCATACACGGATCCATTCTGGTCTCGTTGAAAGTCCTGAACTATCTTAGGCTTCTTCATGGGATCAGAGTAAGGTTAATCTGCCAACTTTCGTTTTCCTTTGCTCTGGGTGGAAACCGCACGAACTTGGCTTGTTCTACAATGTCACCCCTCTTCTTGAAACTCGCCTCTTCCCTGGAACATGACCATCAGGTTCGCATCAGGGAAAAGACGAGTTGGTGGAATTCCAGACTGTATCCCTTCTCCATACTGGGCGAGACTATGCGATCTTCTGTGAAGATTTCCACTTAGGCGCCACATGCCCCGCCTCCCGTTAGCTCCAACTGAAAAGACACGATCTACATGATCATCTGCCCCGCTCGATGGAGGGAGCTCACTGTGAGCCAACTTCAGTCCGGGCGATATTTGGAATAACTGTGTTTTCTAGGATATTTTGAGATGGACTGGATATTCAAGCTCTCATGTGCATATGACGTAGTCAATGTGAGTAACACAGAAACTAACTTAAAGAATACATATCATAGTACTGCTGAGTTTTCCTTCATCATTGTTGGCTCTCCTTAAGTGTCTTTAAAAGGAATGACCCCCGGTTTAAATCTGATTATGTCAATCAGATGTTCCACGATTTTTTTCATTCTCTAATCACATGTCAGTATGGAGGGACAAAAGTAATTTAAAAACCAAAGGTGGACTGGATACTAGACTTGCCCAGTCAGGAGAGAGCAGGGGAGAACTTCTTGTCCCAGAGAGAATTCCATCAGTGGCCCGCAAGTTGAGCTAGGGAGGATATGCCTTTCTTCTCTCCAGCCCTGTGTCTTTCCCCAGAAACTGGGGATTAGCACTGCAAAGCTAAAGATGTGAGCTGGAGGTGCAATCCGAGAGGGTGTGAAAGACATAGCTTTGATTTGGGGCACAAGGGGCTATGGCGGCTGTAGATAGGAGGAGGAGGATGATCACTGTAACAAGATAAATATTATGTATGATGTGTGGGTACTATTTGTTTTATTGACTTATTTAATTCTTATAACAAAATACAAGGGCATCTGTTGCTACCGTTATTTTGTAGGTGGGATAACTGGATGCAGAACATTCCTATAGCTGGCCTGAAGTCTCATAGCTTCTGAGTAGTGTCCATAGGATTTCAGTCTAGACATCTGGAGTCTTGAGGCCTTATTTCTCAAATCATATGATGTAGCATGAAGAACTCGAGACTTCTGCTATGCTTTATAATAGGGAGGAACCAGTCTCCTGTACAGGTGCCCATCAGGTTCTGGCAAGGGCCATTCAAGGACGGTAGAGAGAGACTCATTCCTTCCATGAAGCAAGGAGTAGGCAGAGAGTGGGTGGCTAGATCCAAAAGCCCAGATGACTCATTGTAGGTGTACAGATGGTGGTGAAGGGTGAGGAAGGCAGGTGTGCAGTTGAAAAGACCAGCTCTGGAGTGTGCCACAGACAGTAAATATGATCCAGCAACTTGAGGCTGTCTCCTCAGACAGGACTAGCATGTAGCTGTCCTTAGTCTGCTGTGTACGCTCCTGCCATTTAAAAGGACCAAGAAAAGCACCCAGAAGTCAATCCTAGAGAGAAAGGTGCTCCGACTTCCCCGTGGTAGAAACTGTTAGTGCAATCTCCAGTCAGCCCTGCACTCATCAATAAACAAGCCCCTTAGAGGACACCCTGCTGGGTGCTGGGTGGGCACAAGCATGAAGGCTCAGCCCTGTTCTTACTGAGGCTCCGGGCACTGACGCACTGGATGACAGCGTAGTCTATTCCTATCTCTGCTTTCGTATAAGGCGACTGAAGGTTGGCTATGTGGCTTCAGAACCTTTCCTTCCACTAAGGTTTCACTGCCCTTTGTTCCTGAGGAACCAGGTTGGTCTGGCGAGACTCTGGCTTTCTGGCTCTAGTGGAAAGCTGGCATCTTGTTGCCAAGCAAAGTAGACAAACACAGCCTTCTCCATGACTGAGTCTCCAAGGGCAGTCCCGGAAAACCACCGTTATTACGGCTGTAAACCTTTAATGAGTACCTGTTAAAGTTTTGCTTTACTCTGGGGCTGTTTGAAGACAGATGAGGACTTCTGACTGTCACACATCAATGACAAATGAAAAACAAGTCTTCTTCACATGTATATTTGCCAGCATTTCCTCTGTATCAGGCACCGGAGAGACTGCCAATGAGCCAAGGAGCTGAATTAGAGGGTTGAGTATTTACTTTGGATCTGACTGTAGTCTGAGCATGGAAAGCATAGGGGATCAAGGCTCATTTCCTGCCCAATAGGGATCCCAAGCAGTGATATGATCTTGTAAAAGGCTTTGGAAAGCAAATAAAGTCTGCTAGCGTTACAGGTGATCCTTCCTTTCTAGGTAAATGGAGCATTGATGAAGTCTGAGGATGCAGGACAATTATTTAACACAGAAATTAGCTTAGAGATTTAAACTTTGACTCTGTCACTTACTGATCATGTGACCTTCAATACCCTGAGACTCAGAAATAAAGATAATATCAGATATGTAATAAATGTTAATTTTTAGTGCTAACATAATTCTTCATACTTACTAATAACTCCACAATGGGTCTTAAAAACTGCACTCTCTTACTGAAATCTCCTAAGGATTCTATGGAATAACTTTGCTCTGTCTGACAACGGTACCATGAGCTACATGTGCTAATAAAGAACACTGGAAATGTAGCTAGTCCAACCTGAGATATATCTCAGGTATGAAAGCAATCCACAATCAATTTGAGGTCTCAATGAAAAAAAAAATCCCACAGACATTTTCATGTTGGCTGTATTTTGAAAAAAAAATATCTTTAAGTGCACCAAATTAAATTCACAGTATTGTTAAAATGATTTTCACTTGTTTAACTTTTCTTAAGATGGCTGCTAGAAACACGCCTATGACTTGCATTGTGCTTGGTCAGATGTGATCTCACTAATTAACTACTAGTAGTAATTGCTCCATTTTCAGGAGGGAATGAAATGAGGCCTCATCAGGTGACATCAGCGGCCCAACGGGCCAGCGTCAGCTTGGAGGTGTGGCTAGTTCGTCTTTAAACACTGTGTTTCCTCTCAGGCTTCCTGCTAAGTACCAGTGAACACAAACAGGAGAGCCCTGGGGACCTTCCAGAAATTTCCAGTCGAGCGAGTGCTACAAGTCACGGTCAGGTGGTAGACTGCCTGAGTGTGTGATATCTACCTTATGGATCACGGACACACTCGGAGTTCTGTTTGTTCTCGGACAGGATGCATTTTCACGCTGTTTTGTTAGGAAGAAAATTAAAACCAAAGCATGCATGCCACCTTGTGGAGATGACTGCATTCCCAGAACTGCACCATCCCTCAGCTGCTGATTTTATACATGTGAGCTCCATGAAAGCCCCTGCCTTCCACTGGGCACTAAACGACTCTTTCCTTACTGTGAGGCAAGGAATGAGGACCCACGTGACACTATGATAAGTCTCCTGCCTGGTCTGGACCGGCAAGGGCAGAAGAAAAAACATCACGTGTCTGCAGGGCCAGGGAGAACTCTGGCTCGCTCTCATGTCTCACCAGATTACACACTTGGATCTTAGTCTGCTTGATGTGAATAGGGGTTCAGTTCTGCCATCTCAACAGCAAGCCTGCTGCCAAGATAAAGCAACCCTGTCCCCTGATATAGTGATATATCCATTCTCTTAGTCACGTCATTGTTGCTGTCTGTATTGGTTCACATTTCCAAAGCAATAGCTTTGTTAGCTTGTCAGCATCACTTGAGATGGTATCTAAGAGTCTCAAGACTTAGGGGTCCCAAGCTTTAAGAATGCCCCCCTCAGGAGGAACTTGAACTTCCCACAGGGCAGGAAACCCTGACTGCCCTTAGGGACGAAGAGGGAGGAGGAGAGGGAGTGGGGGGAGTGGGAGGGTGTTGGGAGGAGGGGCGGAAATGGAAACTTTTATAATTTATTAAAATTACTTTCAAAAAAAAAAGAATGCCCCCCTCAGTTACTCCTTACTGTGCCATCCAATGCCTCCTGAGTCAGCCTGCTCACGTCACCCTTCCCAGTTGGCTCTGAGCCTAATGGGATCTAGTTTGCCCTTGTGTAAGGGTGTTGGAGGCATGTGGTCTCCCCTCCCTTCTCCCCCACTGACCTTAGCAACACCCAGAGCACCGGAAACAGAGTAGTGCTCAGGGCACGAGAAGAGGCTGGGCTTTGAAGACTGTGAAGCCTGGAGTTGTCCCAGCTCCATCCCTGCCTACATGTGAGACTTCAAACCGCTGTTTCCTTATGTGAGGAATGAGAATAGTCGCCTGCCTCAGAAAAGGTAGCATATGACATGGGTAAAGCACACATAGAATGAAGAACTCATGACTGTTTATTGCTGTCTATTGATAGTCTAGTTGTCTATCAAAAAATCAGTCCCATAGTGTGAGTTTCCACAGAAGCCTGTGGCTAGCAGCCATGTCCTTCTGCCTGGTAGATGGTCAGATGCAAGTGAAGCTGTCGGGATTTGGGTTGTGGGAGTCCAAGCATGGCTGCACACACAGGATCTATAACCAGAAGACCATTGATCATTCAGGTAGCCACTGGCAGAGCTTAGACCTACTTGCTGTAGCCTGAACTGAGGTTTTTCTGTTTTGTTTTGTTTTTGTGCATCTTTGCTTCATGATGCTGCCTTGAAGGGGGACCTGTGGATAGTTTTTCCGATTCAGATGATGGAGTGGAGTCGTTCAGTTCATCCATGGAGAGAGAGAAAAGAGATCACAGTAGGGGTGTCCTGAATCTACTCTGGGTTAGGAGGCTGGGCCGCTGAAGCCACGATTGCTCTTCTCCGTCACCTCCTATGTCCCTCCCCATTTTGATTCTAAGTTCTCAGCATAGATGATAATATCTGCCGGGCTGTCCTAGTCAGGTTGCCACTGCTGTGATAAAACACCATAACCAAAAGCAACTTGGGGAGGAAAGGGTTTGTTTGGCTTAGACTTCCACATTGCTGTTCATTATCAAAAGCAGTCACTACAGGAACTCAAACAGGGCAGGAACCTAAAGGCAGGCACGGATGCAGAGACCGTTTAGGGGTGCTGCTTACTGACTTGTTTCCAGTGGCTAGCTCAGCCTGCTTTCTTAAACCCAAGACCACCAACCCAGGGCCGGCCCTGCCCACAGTGGGCTGGGTCCTCCACCATCAATCACTAGTTAAGAAAATGTCCTGCAGCTGAATCTTAGGGGAAATTTTCTCAATTGAGTTTCCCTCCTTTCAGATGACTCTGGCCTGTGTCAAACTGACATAAAACTAGCCAGCATGCAGCGTGTTTAAAGATAGCTGAGTCCGGGAGTGCTCTGTCTCCTAGGCCAGACACACTTGAATCTTTTCTTACATGACCCCTTTCCATGTGAATCCTGGTGTATAGCTACATACAGTAGGCAAACAAATGAAACATTTACTGATTTTTAAAAAAATCAGATAGAATTTATTTTAACCAATTATTTTATTTACATGTAAGTTTATCATTTAATAGACACTATCCATTGTACCATGTACTGGGTAAACTATGATATCTTATTTTAGATCAGCCTCCTTGGTTATTTTCTCCATGGCCTTCATATGGATGATGTCAGCTTTCCCAGGCAGGCACTCATTGGATCATCCTCTCAGGATGCTCGTGACCTCCTGCAGCATGGAAGGAATTGGATGTTGCTTTCCCTCACTGCCTTGCAGAACTCTCTTGGACAGCCCCAGAGCTGTTGAGGCTTCAGGAGCTGCCCTGGTCCGGCACCCCTCATGGCGATGTTTACAGCTTTGCCATTATCATGAAGGACTTGATCTGCCAGCAGGCCCATGGGCCCTTTGAGGACCTTGAGGAGGCTCCTGAGGGTAAAGCTGTGGTGTGCTGTTCATGGGAAAGGAAATTAGGGCTTTGTGTGTGGGTTGGGGGTGGAGGGGTGTGCTGGGATGGATATAAGAGATGATCAGGGTGATAATAATCAGAATGTAGTACAACACACACGTGTGCACATACATGCACACCCGCTCACACACAGCACACACATATATACACACTCACGCACATACACATGCACACACATGTACACATACACAGTCAAAATCACACATACACACATGCACATACACATACACACACTCACACACACTTAGACACAGCACACACATACACATACAAACACTCACATGCACACACACATGCTCACACATACACACAAATACAAACACTCACATGTACACACACACTCACATGAACACATACATACTCATGCAAAATTATTAAAAGAAGAACAACAGGAAAGATTGGTCTTTAGACTATCATCCTATTCAATGACCTTCAAAACCTGAAGTTTCTGTGAATGTAGGCAGTTTCTTTTAAACCAGACTGAAGTGATATTTTGTTTGTGTTTTAACAAATAAAGCTTTTCTGAAGATCAGAGTGCAGAGCTAAGTCACTAGATGCCAGGCAGTGATGACACACACTTTTAAATCCAGTACTTGAGAGACAGAGGCAGACAGATGACCATGAATTCAAGGTCACCCTGGGCTTCATGAAATTGATCCAGTCTTAAAGAGAAACAGATCTCACATAAAGATGATCCCAGCACTTGGGGGTCACACACCTTAAATCCAGGAACTAGGAAGGTGGAGACGGGAGTGATATTGATATTCTCTTCTGTATTCTGTAAATATGTTTTATTACCATTGGTTAATAAAGAAACTGCTTCAGTCTTTGGCAGGGCAGACTAGAGTTAGGCAGAAAAACTAAACTGAATTGATGTAGGTGGGCCTTCTGTCTATGTGTTATTTTCATTGGTTAATAAAGAAACTGCCTTGGCCCTTTGATAGGACAGAAAATTAGGTAGGCGGAGTAAACAGAACAGAATGCTGGGAGGAAGAAGGCAGTGAGGCAGACACCATGACTCTTCTCTCAGAGACAGATGCAGGTTAGGATCTTTCCCAGTAAGCCCCCATCTCATGGTGCTACACAGATTATTAGAAATGGGTTGAATAAATATGTAAGAGTTAGCCAATAAGAGGCTACAGATAATGGGTCAGGCAGTGTTTGAAAGAATACAGTTTCCGTGTAATTATTTCCGGTAAAGCGGCCCACTGTTCCTTGTACAGAGTGGCGCTCCAACATGGTAACTAACTCCACATAAAACCTAAGAGGGCTAAAACGGAATTTTAGACACAAATATAGAGTTTAACACAGCTTTTTGCTGTTTGCTAGGGTGTGCTGCAGAGAAATTTTCCTGACTCAGTAACCTCAGCAGGAAAAAACCTGCACTGTTTTAAAACATGGCTTCCTGGGCCCTGCCACAGGTGCAATCTCCAGCTATGGAATATTTCTGGGTTTGGACGTTTGTGTGCCCACTTGGGGTCGGGAACAAAGTAGCTGAGACCATGCCCATGGCTTGGCTCTTCCTGCCTGAGTGGGCAGTGGGATCAGGTCTACTAGAACGTGGCGGTTTTGAAATACCAGTTTCTGGGCTGTGCCACCATCGTGATCTCTGAATGGCTCCTGTGAGAGACAGAGCTTTTGTGGAACATTTGGAGTAAATTTGTTTACGACGATTTGTTTGATGGCAATTAGACTTGCTGTGTGCCTAAAAGGGAGTCATTGTGTGCTCCGGCTCAGAGGCACGTTGGGCTGGGCGGGGCAAGCAGGCAGTACCTGTTTTTGACCTAGGAATGTCACAGCTTTAGATTTTTAAGTGCTAAGTGATTTAAAACTGCAAAACAAAAATGCCCCTAGATAGTAAAAAATTACAGATTCACAATAGGATAGATTCAGACATAAAAGACCTCTAAATGGGTCACAGTGTTGGATGACTGTACTGTACGTAGGCTCGGGAGAGAGAAGAAAAAGAATATAGAGAATAAAGTTAATGCCTTAAAAAAAGGGTAAAGTCTTTAAAGAGACAGAGTACAGATAGTTATAGATTAAAAGAAATAAATAAAAATAAGCCATGTAAAAATGGAAAATTTGCAGAGAGTTTGGATTCTGTATATTGTGTTTTCTTTAAAATTTTTGACTGTGAAGGAGCTAAGTACAGAGAGACATTTCATTATATGGACTGCCAAGCTAAACCAGAATGGATATCATAAGGGTATAATGACTTCAGAATTTGGGCCCAAGAATATGATGCTTTGGAAAGGAGGTCCTTCTTTTGTTTTCACAGAAGATGAGACCCTGTGGATTGCTTCTATCCCGATATGGTATGATAGACCATGCCCTCCTGAAAGGTTGCTGTGAACACTCTCAAAAAATTACTTTGCTCATCTGCCGACTGATATGAACCTAGGAGACAGGTTATACCATGAAAGACCTAATTAACAGTGCCTCTATACAGCAGGAAGAAGTTTGGAGAGAAATAACTGCACCCATATTCTTAATTATTTTTCTATAAATGTTCTTTTACATTTAAAGGGGGATGTGATATAGATATGAATAATTTGTATTGGTATGGATTTTAAGGTCAATTTTGTTACATGTATATGTATTTCTGATCTTGATTAAGGTATTGTGATTGTGTAGTTATTTAAAAATGTAATGTATAATTATGAAATATAGGTTGTTATTGTATAATCATCAGTAATAGTCAAGCTTGTAGTTATGTTAGTTAGATTTTCTAGATGTGCATAGATATATTTCAGATAGGCATTCTTCATATCTTTCAAAGACTACAGAATATGTTATTTAATGTTTTAATAACTTAGGGCTTTTTCATGACTATGAGACATGTCATGCTACTTCAAGAGGAAGATGGGCATCGAAGAGGCTCCTTATGGAGTCTGATAGCCATTTGGGCAAGAAACTGCTCCTGCCTGGACTGTTGCACAAACTGGACACAGAGAACCCACAGAGAGAGGACTGCTGAACTTGCCTAAAGGTGAGATGGTCTTTCGGGGTTCCTCATTCATGAAAGAGTCTGTGAGACATTCTGCAGGACACAGCAGATAGTGACTGAACTGCTGGGAGGCCCTGTCTTCCCTGTTCCTCGAGGCCAAAGCACAGGATGCAAGAAATGTTTATGCTAACCAGCTTAGCTCCCTCTGCCCGATTCTGCCAGCCGGAGGTGATTAGTTCAGAACCTTGTTTCTGTCTTGATATGGTAATTTCACCTGCTAAGGAGGGTCCTCACAGGTGCCCTGAATCTCCTCCTATCTGTCTATCAGGGTTCCCAGGGTACCCCCTGCTGAAAGCTCCTGCCACTGGCGCCAGCAGCTCAACAACTTGATCTCACTACTGGCTGGGAGGGGGCTCTCCACTTCTGGGGCAAAAGTATTTAACCCTGGGTTAAGTTTGAATAAATTGGGCATTCTCCTCTGGGGAATGACTCGAACTCTGTCTGTGTCACGTGCGTCTGTGTTTTAACCCCTAGGACATTGGAGCTCATGGGTGGTGATGCAGACCCCGTGGCGTGGAACGACCACCACAAACTGCCTTTGAAATTTCCTGCTTCATGGAAATGTCTGCTGGATACTATGGGCCTGAAGGCCAAAGATGGATGCCCCAATGGCACAGAGGAACTTTGGGAGACTGTCCAGGCAGCAAGATGTCTCTGTCATTTCTAGAGTTTTGGAATTTGCTTACTTCTTGTTTACTTAGGTAATACTATATCCTTCTGGAGTCTTTGATGGAGTTGAAGAATGGTTAGTTGTAGTTATAGTTTTCCATTATTATGATAAAGATAAAATAGATATAAACATTTTAACTGTAATTCTTACTCGATAACTGTTTTGTTGTATGTAATTTTACTATGTTAAAGTGAAAGCCTTTCTTTTTTGTTTAAATAGAAAAAGGGGAAATGATGTAGTTGGGCCTTCTGTCTATGTGTTATTTTCATTGGTTAATAAAGAAACTGCCTTGGCCCTTTGATAGGACAGAAAATTAGGTAGGTGGAGTAAACAGAACAGAATGTTGGGAGGAAGAAGGCAGTGAGGCAGTTGCCATTACTCTCCTCTCTGAGACAGACGCAGGTTAGGATCTTTCCCGGTAAGCCACCACCTCGTGGTGCTACACAGATTATTAGAAATGGGTTGAATAAATATGTAAGAGTTAGCCAATAAGAGGCTACAGATAATGGGTTAGGCAGTGTTTGAAAGAATACAGTTTCCATGTAATTATTTCAGGTAAAGCGGCCCACCGTTCCTTTTACATCAGACTGCATCCTCAGACAGACTGCTCTTCAGACTACACTGAGCTCCTGTCTCCTCCCACCTTATAGTTCTCTCTCTGCCTAGCCATATCACGTAGCTACAAATATTCTCCATCATGATGGTCACTCTGGACCAGATTTTCTCCACCCACCTGTTTCCAAAGTTGCTTATAAAATGGCTACTCTGAGGCTTAATATTAGTTACACACTTTTTGACCTATTAGCTTAGGCTTCTTATTAACCAACTCTTACACCTTAACCCATTTCTATTCTTTTATATTTTACTGTGAAGCCATGGTTTGTTACCTCACTTCTTGCTTCTGGGCACCTACATGGTGTCTGCCTGACTGCCTTCTTTCTCCCTGTATTCAGTGTCGTAATAAAAAATGGCAGGCTGTGTTCCCACCCGGATCCCGGCTAGCTTACCCCTGAAATAATTATATGGAAACTGTATTTTTTTAAAACACTGCTTGGCCCATTAGTTTCAGCCTCACATCTTGATTAACCAACCCATTTCTAATAATTTGTGTTGCACCACGAGGTGGTGGCTTACCGGGAAGGATCTTAACCTGTGTCCATCTTGGAGAGGAGAGCTATAGCGTCTGCCTTATTGCCTTCTTCCCAGCATTCTGTTCTGTTTACTCCACCTACCTAACTTTCTGTCCTATGAAAGGGCCAAGGCAGTTTCTTTATTAACCAATGAAAATAACACATAGACAGAAGGCCAACCTACATCAGTCTGAGGACAGGATCGCTCCTTTGGTCTGAGCATTGATAGAGGTAAGAATTCTCTAGTGGCTGGCTGCTCTGCTTCAGGCAAGCTTTAGTGGTTAAAACGCAAGCAAAATATCACTATACCAGACTCAAGTTTCTAATTAGTAGTTAAATGTAATGATCTTAAAATGAGGGTAATCCAAGAGTAGTAGCTCAGTATCCAGCCAGGCAGTCCTGAGTTCAGGTGGTGGCCACCGTCAGTCCTGGAGCCCCACTCCCACCTGCTCTTGGCCTCTGGGGTCTGAGTGTCCCAGAGAAAACTCCGTGGCAGTCAATGTGCCCCTCACTATAGCAGTGACAGGCAGGTCACATGAACCCATGTCTTAACAGTTGTGGACTTGGTTTCTAGACAAATCGGCATCTATTTACTTCTCGTGCTTCCCTACAAATAAGCTTGGCTCCCTGTGCATTGCATCCCCTTGGTCCTCACACTCTTCTGGGTGCTGCTCAAACACAGAGTTGCTGCTCTCCCCTACTCTGGCTCAGGTTTCCGGCTCATAGGTCTGAAGTGAGACCCGAGACTACACACCTCATCGGCGTCCCTGCTAAGGCACATTGGAGAAGAACTGGTCTTGGTTGTCTTTGCCTTTGGACCAGCAACGAGAGTCGTACCTGGAGATAAGCGCTGCTTAGAGCCACTCTCCAACCTCGTTCTGGAAATATAGGAAGAGGCCCACAAGTGTTTACTCAACCTCTCCATCCCAGGCCAGTGTCCTGCCTGTTTGCCAAAGATGAAGAATGACTGCTTCAAAGCAGCTAATACACTAGAAATGATGGGATGGAGATGCCAGGCTGCGTGTTGCTAGGTAACAAGCCCACATCCCACACACTCTCCGTCTGCATTATCAACTGATGGACTCTCGAAGAACTCCTCAGATAATTCAGGGCAGGAGGAAGTATAGTACCGTCTCCTTCTCAACTCCAGTGGCCATTGCTGTCCCTCAGGTTTGAGTTTTAGTTTGGGATATAACACATAATTGCTTAAAGTATATTTTTTTTTCAAGACAGAGTTTCTCTGTAGCTTTGGAGCCTGTCATGGAACTAGTTCTTGTAGATCATGCTGGCCTCAAACTCACAGAGATCTGTTTACCTCTGCCTCCTGAGTGCTGGGATTAAAGATGTGTGCCACCACTGCCTGGCTTTAAAGTACGTTTTTAAGGAACTGTTTCAGAATATATGTTGGGTATTAAAATACAGACTTAAAGGTGTAGCTCACACACAATTTTGTTTTGGTTTGGTGTTAATAAAGAGTTTCATTATGGCACTCTGGCTGGCCTGGAGCTCACTGTGTAGACCAACATGAAGGGTTTCTTCTGCTTCAGTCATCTCAGTGCTGGGATTTCAAGTGAGCAGCATCAACGCAGCTAGATAGAGTTTGTAACTGGTAGTCTGTGCTGTATCAGGCCATGCTTTATTCATATTGTCCCAGTTTCTTCTGTCCCAACATCTCATCTTGGGTACCACACTGTGTTCAGATGCCTTCTTATGCATGGCCAGCACACATGTACACTTTATAACCTGGAAGTTTTTGAGTACCTGGTCAGGTTTTCTTTTGACATGTGTATGATCTGTGTGTGCACCTACACGTGTTTGTCAGTGTATTGACGTACATGTGCTCAGGTGCACATGCTCGTGTATGTCTGTGTGGAAGCCTGAGGTTGCCGTCTCTAGTTCTCCAATGTACATTTCAAGGCAGGGTCTCTCACTGAACCCAGAGCTCGCCTTTCTGACTCTCTAGGCTCGTTAGCTTGCTTGGGAAAGCCCGGTCACTACTGGGATTCCAAGCCGGCCACCACACCAACCAGGCATTTATACAGATTCTGGGGTTCAAACTCTGGTCCTCCTTGTATGGCAAATGCTTTACCCAGGGAGCCCTCTCTCCAGCCCCTGGGCTGACATTGTATAGATAGCTTCTCATTAGGAACATCTGATGTTTTCTTTTTCTTATGGTTATTCTGTGGTTAATATGTGGGGGAGCTTGTTGATGTACATTTTGTCATTTCTGTGACACTGAGAATTCTTAATGATGTAACCAAGAACACAGCTGTCAAAGTTGATGTTGGCTTTGGTTACCTGAATGAGAGAGTCCTGTTGATATCTCCACTGATGAGTTCTTGACCTCATCCTTCCATATAGGAAGGAAGTCACTGTGTATAGACTGTATTAAATCAAGAATTACCATAGATACTACATAGAATTCTCTGTAGTGGAATCTACTTGATCTACTTTATTCCACCTATTTGTTTCAGTTGTTGGTATCTATCAGTAGAGACTCATGGAAATTTTCCTCTTAATGTGGCTCAAATGACTTCCTTTCTGGCTGCCCAGTTCAGTTGGTGGCATGGTCTCTTGGACACATAACCACTGTTATGTCTTGTTTCACTTCTGAGTGCTTTCCTGTTTTCTGGACTAGAGAGTCTCTACATTTGTGTTGCACACCCACACTCAGTACTACAGACTCCCCTTGCTCAGTACCACACCCCTGTGGTGTAGGAGGGTCTTCTTTCTATGTGTTGCTTTCATTAGTTGAATAAAGAAAACTGCCTTGGCCTTTTGATAGGGCAGCCCTTAGGTTGGAGGAGTAGACAAAACAGAATGCTGGGAAGACGGGAAGTGTGACAGACACCATAATTCTCCTGCCTGAAACTGACACTGGTTAGGAGCTTTCCCAGTAAGCCACGACCTCGTGGTGCTACACAGATTACTAGTTATGGGTTAAAGCAAGATGTGAGTTAGTCAAGAAGAGACTAGATATAATGGGCAAGGCAGTAATTAAGTTAATACAATTTATGTGTGGTTATTTCGGAGGTTAAGCTAGTCAGGCCGCGGCTCCTCCTTACAACACCCCCGCCTGGTACCACATACCACACCTCTGGTTAGTACCACACCCGTGCTCAGTACTACAGACTCACCCTGCTCGGTCCCATGCCCCTGTTCAACACCACACCCCTGCTTGGTACCACACCTCTGCTCAGTACCACACCATCTCACTTCCAGCTTCTCTCATGTCCTGCCTGATAATTTTTCATTAATGATAATATTTTCATTCCTTTTTGTTGTTGTTGTTTTTTTAGAGACAGGGTTTCTCTGTGTAGCCTTGGCTGTCCTGGAACTCCTCTGTTGACCAGGCTGGCCTTGAACTCACAGAGATCTGCCTGCCTCTGCCTCCCTACTGCAAGGATTAAAGGCATCTGCCACTACCACCCTGCAAAGCTTTTATTCTTTATGCCTAACTGCACTGTGAACTTTCATAGGTGTTACCAAATATTCAATGCCTATGTGACCACTGTTACAATGTCAAACAGAACATGAACTCCCTTGCTCATTTTCTCCCCATTTGTCTACTCAGCTCTCTCCAAAACTCTCAGCCACCTGCAGACTATAATCTTGTTTTCCTAGACTTTACTAACAGATGGTGCTTGTACATACCCTTTGACCCCAGCTCCTCTACTGAGCAGCATGCATTCAGTGTTCATTTATGCTGCTGCGTAAATGATTTTTATATCAAAATATGTATGCATTTTTACACATTAGTTCCTGGAATGTCTGCTGCCTGCCAGATTCCACCTCCTAGGCATTTTAAATGCATTAGTGCACCAAATTCCTGAAAACCACACACAAGGTCCATTTTTCAGATGAGTAAATTGAGGCTTAGAGAAACAAAAGCTACCGCTTCAGCGGTAGAGGTGGGCACAGTACAGTCTTACTGGAGACTTTGGCACTGTTGTCAGTTTGCTGCTGCCACGGGCAGCCCTTCAGTCACACGCCTTAAGGACAAGAAGTGTTTCCCTGGGATCTGTGTTTGGGAGTTGCGTCTCCACTGCAGTCCTATGGTTCCTGGAAGGGGATGCTAAACATCTGCATTCTTTTCCAGCCACGTGAGCCTCTTGGACACCATGATGGGCAAGCTGGAAATGTAGGCCCATCACCTGGAGGAGGTGGCGGAAGTGTGGACCTTCCAGCTGGTGGCAGAGAAGAGGAAGTGGAGACACTCTTGTCCACCATGTTGCCGTGGTGCGTTGGTGGGTAGAGCAAAAACAGCTGGAGGAAGACATTCGCAGTCTTAGCAGCTCTACACGAGGGATATTTCCATTCTTCTTTTTTAAAGAGAATACCAAGTTTTGTAAAAGGGGACCAAGAAACAGGGGGCGAAGTCCTGGGGGGTGAGGTAAGGAGGGAGGGAGGGAGGGAGGGGGAGAGGGAAGAAAGGGAAGAAGGGAGCGGGTAAGGAGAGAGGGAGGGATGGAAAGAGGGAAGGAGAATTGTGTATGCATGCAAAAGTTGGCAAATTGACCCACCTTATTAATGAAAATACGGGCAAACCTCCCAATCCTGGGTGATGGAAGATACAGTGTGGTTTATGTGGAAGGTGCAATGCTGAAATAGGATATAGTCACTAGATGGCAGTCTAGCTTCACGTCCAACCACTAAGGCGCCACCATTGCGTTCATGTTCCTCTGAATCTTTGCTTAGTTCAATAAATGCCTGTGGCATCAAGTTCAAAAATTGCTTCAACTTTGGTTCTTTTTCCACATGAGTATTTTCTGAACACTAGGGAAAATCATATGCTTTTAGAATTCTCGTTCGTTTGAATGTCAACCAAGAAGTGGAAGCAGGGATTGAGATAGCATCTCACAGAGACCTTAGCTTGGAACTCACAGAGATCCACCTGCCTCTGCCTCCTGAGGGCTGGGATTAAAAACACGGTCCATCATAACTGTCTAGAGCAGTGGTCCTCAACCTGTGAGTTGTGACTCCCTTGTCAAACCTCTATCTCCAAAAATGTTTACTTTATTGTTCATAACAGTAGCAAAATTACAATTATGAAGTAGCGAAGAAAATAATTGTTTGATGGGGGGGTCACCACATCATGAGGAACTGTATTAAAGGATCGTAGCATTAGGAAGGTAGAGAAACACTGTTCTTGAGCATAGGGGATTTGAACACACTCATAATAAGAGAACAGTTGGTTGAAGTAAGAATATTGGTTTACGGATTGGTGAGTGATTACACTCATTTTCACATCTGCACACCAGATCTTTACCACCAAACTCCGTAAGCAATAGAAAGGACTAAGATGTTTTCAGTGAGAAAATATTTTTAATAAAGCAATTTGTGTGACCTGTCCCTGACCTTCACCCTCTCCTGCAATTCATAGCCGCCACTTAAAATCCTCTCTAGAGAAAATGCAAGTGAATAAGTACACGTCACAAGAATTTCTCTAGGTGGTAAATTTAATAAGTAAGAACCTAGCCTACGGAAGCCAGAGGGCCCATAGAAGGGCTGACTTTGCCGCGAGCTGTGGAAGTGGAAACAAGCAGGAACTCGCTAAGAACTCCCCATTCTCGACTGCAGCTTTGTTGGGGAGCAGCTCATAGCCGGGAAGTCTGCAGAACCAGAACATTTTGCATCTGTTACCATTTTTTTCTCGTCAATCAGTGTTTATTTAAAACATGATTGACAGAATCCAGACAATTCTCCTGCACCAATTGTGGGATTTGCAAAGCTGTACTCTCTCAGCTTCCCCTTGCAGGTGGTCAGTCTCAATGACTGGTACAGTTTGTTCGATCACACAGTAGAAACCCACGATGTGCACAAGGTGAGCTATGATGCACACAGACTCTTTATTCGCCATCTCTGGGTTCACTGGGACAGACCACATCTCAGCTCATCTCCATTCACGGCAGAAACTACATACTTCATTGGTTTGTATTCTTGGGAAGGGGTTTGATTAGTCCCAGGTGTACATGCATGTCCAGTGGCACTGTGCGGGGGCAGCAGAAGACTCAGTCACTGAAGGGATTGTCTTGCAAGCTGGAAGACTTGAATTTGATCCCCAGAACCCACATAAAAATAAGCAGGGCTTTGTGGTACAAAGTTCTCAGTGCTGGGGAGACAGAGTTAGGGAGATTGCTGGGATTCACTGGCCAACCATCTTAATTGGTGAGTTCCAGGCCAGTGAGAGACCTTGGCATCTCAAAAACATGTGTTCTTCAGATTCCAGAAAGCTGATAGCTCTCCCTTTGGATCCTCTGTGAGCCTTGACTTCTGTTGGTATGATCCTTAGCAATCCAGGGTGAAGACAGACTCTTCGAATTTAGACTGTCAGGCTGAGGCTAAGGGGGAGTGGCAGCTATGTCCCACATGGTGCTACTCAAGGGGGCATGTAAACATGGTCCCCCAGAGTGAGAAGAAGATGGACAGCAAAGCAGAGATGCTGTGACTTTTGTAGTGGTGCTGATGCTGCTCTTCAGGTTGTTAGACCTCTTTGGAGGGAGGATCAGAGCACAGTCACAGGATGCTGTGTTTCTGTGCCTTCATACACCTGCTAGGCACAGCAGAACCACTCTGCCCATGTCCTGGGGCAGACAAGGCTGGGGGGGCAGTGTGGCCATATCCCTGAGTGACAGATACTGAGTGGGCATCCCCTAGAACTCTCCACAAATGCCGATGGCACAGAGGACCTTTGAGAGCTGATCCCTACCCCTGCTCTGCCTAGGACACCATCCCCTGGAATTTTCCTCCTTGCTTTCTCTCCTCCGGGGCACTTGACATGGGTGGCTCTGACATCCGGTTTGTGTTTGTGAAGGTTGTTCTCAGGAGGGAGAATATGGCCTAGAACAGGGTTTAGCCTTGCATAATTTTGGGGGTCACCAGGAGAAAAATGTTCCCAAGGTGGAGGTGTTCCTACTGCTTGACTAATAAGTCAAGCCTTCCACACACCGGTTCTACTGGGTATAACTGTGTGTGCGAAAGGCTGAAGGCTTGGGCTTCTAGGCTTCAGTTCCTTCCATGCCAATAGGACTCTAGTCTCTGGTTTTATTAGGAAGACTGGTGGAGGAGGGCACACACCAGTGATTAAATGTTTAGATGTGTGTGTGTGTGTAGGTGACTGTATTGAGAATGGTGTGTAAGCACTTCTAAGTTCTTGCGTGGCATGAGGACATTTTGGGTTAACTAATATGGACTCCGCTTGAGAGATCCAGTTGATCCTTCCGGATTGACCCAGCTTGCACTTGGCTGCTTGTCTAGTGGGTTCTGACCTTGAACTAACTAGGGAAATATGGCACCATGGTTATCAACTCTAGAGATGCAAGCGCTAGCTATGGGGAAGAGGAATGGTGTGTGGAGGCACCAGGGCAAGAACAGACACTGAAAAGATGCAAGACCTAGGTGGAGCACAGATCAATGAGAGTCGAGCTTTGGAGTATAGGGCCTCACGGGAGGGGCTGGGAGTAGGGGATCTTGTTGTCTAACCCACCTCCTCATGGACCCGTGCTTCCCTCATGGAAAACTAAGGGCATTTCGTTGTGTCCTTTTCAGGTTGAAACCAGCGGAGAGGCATACATAGTGGCCAGTGGGCTTCCCATCCGCAATGGAGCTCAGCGTGCAGATGAGATCTCCACCATGCCCTTGTATTTGCTCAGTGCCACCACCCGCTTTCAGATTGGGCACGTGCCTCAGGAAAGACTCCAGCTTGCGGCAGACAGTCCCTGTGTGTCCATGGGTGGCTCTGGAATTGGGCCCTGTGTCTGAAGCTTTTAGGAATACAATCATTAAATGGCTACAGTGCCAGGAGACCACAGAAAGCCCATATATTTCCAGTGAGTTGAACTGATTCAGAAGAATAAGGACACACAGAAAGTCCGAGATGTTTGGAAGGCTGAGGCAGGCCGAGTGAGGGAGCCATCTGGGCTGCTGTTCTTCAAGCCTCCCTTTTACCGTTGCTTTGATACATTCTCTTTTCGTCAAACCCGTGGGACTGTGACCTGCAGGTGGGTGATCCTTACTTGGTTTCATATTCTTTTGTTACACTTTTGGAAAAAAAAAAAAGGAATCTTACGGTTGGGGTCACAGCTGAAGTTGGCCTCAAATTTGGGATCTTCCAACCTCAACCTCCCTGAAGATACAGGCAGACACATGTCTTAATACCCCTTTGAGCAAATGCTTCATCTTCTCCCTTTGCATGAGTCCTCCCCACAAATTATGTAGCCACGGTCCTACTATCCAACTGAAAACAAACCTGATCTCCGGCCAGAATCCATTCCTTGAGTTCATGCTGCTGTGGGCTTTGTTGACATCTGCAGCTCATAAAGAATGTGGTTAAGGTTCGACTGTTGATTTCTGCAATAAGTGCGTACATCCTGTAGAGGTGCCCCAGGCACTCTGCGACACATATTTTCAAGCATTTCTCCAAGAGGGCCTTAAATAAATACTGGCTGAATTAATTTCCTCTATGGACTTGATGGCCTATGTGGAGTCCAGCCCTGGGAAGGCAGGCGGTTAGACCTCTCTACTGTTTCCGCCTTAGGTCCTGCGGTGGCCGGTGTGGTGGGAATCACCATGCCCAGATACTGTCTGTTTGGGGACACTGTGAACATGGCATCCAGAATGGAAAGCAGCAGTTTACGTGGGCATCACTTGCAGCGCGGGGTCCCTGTCCCTTTTATCTTTAACCAGTGGGTATTTTTAGAAACCTATTTGCATTTTGTCTCCTGTTTTCCATCTGGAAGATAAGATCGTTATTCCCAGGAGACAGCCTGAGCCACCAGCTGTATAGACAGCATTGTTTTTTTCTGTGTGATCAGTGGAGCTATATGAAAGCATATGGCTTCCTCCTTTTAAATCCACCCCCGTGTGTGTGTGTGTGTGTGTGTGTGTGTGTAGGGCAGATCAGGTATTCTCTCTACTGCTGTCCACCTTATTTTGGGGGACAAAGTCTCTTACAGACACTTAAGCTCACTGATTGACTAATCTGGGTGGCCAGTGAGCTCTCGGAATTCAGCCATCTCTACTTCACAGCACTGGGGTTATAGACACGCACCACACCCAGCTCTTTTTTTTTTAACTTTTTTTTTTTTTTTTGAGACAGAGTTTCTCCATGTAACTTTGGAGCCTGTCCTGGAACTTGCTCTGTACAACAGGCTGACCTCAAACTCACGAGATTCACCTGCCTCTGCCTCCCGAGTGCTGAAATTAAAGGCATGAGCCGCCACCACCTGGCATCTCGATGTTTAGAAATTTGTTGATTGTATCTTTATGTGTGTGTGTATATGTACCGTGTGTGCATGAGCAGATGTCAGAAGATGACAGATCTCCTGAAGCTGGTGTTACATTGTAGGTGCTCGGAACCAAATCCAGATCCCCTACAAGAACAGTAAGTTCTTACCCTCTGAACCACCTCTGTAGCACCTGCTCAACTCTTAAGTGTGTGCTGAGGTGTTGTAAAGAGGCTGCTTGGTCATTTCCTGGCTGCTGAGCCCTGAAATAATCACACACAAATTATATTATTTAAAACACTGCTTGGCCAATTAGCTCTAGCTTCTTATTGGCTAACACTTATATCTTAATTTAACCCATTTCTATTAATCTGTGTATCACCACGTGACTGTGGCTTACCAGATAAAATTCTGGTATTTTCTCTGGCGGGCCTACATGGCATCTCTCTGACTCCACCTCCTTTCTCCCAATATTCAGTTTAGTTTTTCCCTGCCTAACCAAATTCTGCCCTATCAACGCGCAAAGGCAGTTTCTTTTTTTCCCCTTTAGTATTATTATTTTTTTCTTTTTTTATATTTTTATTTTTCCATTCAAAAATTTCCACTTCCTCCCCTCCTCCTATTCCCCTCCTGCTCCCCTACTTCCCCTCCCTCTCCCCCTCCAGTCTTAAGAGAGGGCAGGGTACCCTGCCCTGTGGGAAGTCCAAGGCCCTCCCCCCTCCATCCAGGCCTAGGAAGGTGTTCATCTAAACAGACTAGAGTCCCAAAAAGCCAGTACATGCAGTAGAAACAAGTCCTAGTGCCATTATCAATGGCTTCTCAGTCAGTCCCTACTGTCAGCCACATTCAGAGTCCGGCTTGATCACATGCTCATTCAGTTCCAGTCCAGCTGGATTTGGTGAGCTCCCATTAGATCAGACACTGTCCCTCAGTAGGTGGAGAGAGGACCTTGTGTTGCAGAGCCTTCTTGGGATGGTGTCCCCTCCTTGTTGGTGATCTGATTGGAAGACTTGATTGTTCATGTGGAAAACGGGCATGGAGGCAATGCTGAACATGTGGATTCTATGCACGCATGTATGTGGGATGCTTTCCTTGGCACCCAAGTCACACTGAGAATTCAGATTATATTTTTAAGAGTGGGGAGTGGGGCGATGAACTTTATTCTCTGCTTTCCACAGAAGAGCATGGCAGTCCACGCAGTCGTCAGGATTTTATACATAAAGAAGTATTTCTTTCAAAGAAATGGCTCATTCTGTCTAGCTGAGCAAGCCAGACCCAGTCAGGCTTCCACGGCAGCTGCTCACCAGACCCTCCTTCACTTCCCACAGGGCAAGGGAGAGCAGATGACCTTCTGGTTGAAAGGCAAAGGCGACTTTACTGTCCCGCTCCCTGAGTTAACCGAGGAGGAAGACGGTCTGGAGATCTTGTGAGGTGGGTATGTTCTATCAAGATGTCTGTAGAGCTCCACTAGTGGGGATCCTTTTAGGGGGAATGCATCCAATATCCATCCTTCTGAAAAGGTGTAGTTCTGGGGCATAGAATCGATCTCCCACTAGGGGGCACTGTCTGACTAGTGTCACCTCTTGCTTCAAACTTTGCTCCCAGCCTGTTGCCTAGTGTTCAGCTGGAAGAAGTGGCTGTAAGGTACTCATTCCTGGAATGGCAGACCATGGAGACTCATGAATTTGCCTAAAATCAATTTCCTCCTGAAAGAGGGAAAGATGAAGATAAGGCCTGAGCAAAAAACGCACCCTACTTTTCTCTTGTGAGGCAACTAACCAGCTTAGATGGAACTAGGAGACCCAAATGGAAAGCCCCGCCCCTAGCATGAGCTCAAGACAGAAGTGTTCCTGTGCCACGTGGATACAGGAAGACGGACTCACTGTGAAGTAGATGGCCCGTTTCTCAACTCTGGGAGTACAATGGGTAATACCCGTTCACAATTTAGTGCCTATTTTTCCTACACACCAAGCAACATCTCTTGAAGCCAAGACCTGAATTTTAACTGAAAATTTCCATTCATTCATGAATGGTGAGCATAGTTTAACAAATCCAGCTGAGAAAGATGAGCCTGTCTGGTCCTGTGGTGACGATTTCACTTTTGTGCGTGATCTATGGACCAACTTTCTTATGGCGCTTCTCTATTTGCTCCTTATACCTCTCCAGCCCACATGGTTGGTAGGGAAGGCAGAGAAAATTTGGCTAAAATGCTGTTTTGAGACTTTTTTTGTTGAAGTTCCCAAGAATGAAGAAGTGAGACCAGGTAGATTTTCTCTGTGGCTAGTGCATGCTGTGGACATATTTTTGAGTACTGTTTTGGGAAATAAACTGCATTTTGATTTATTGGGGAGGTTTCATGCCAATATTTACAAAAATGTTCTGCATGATGCTTGCCCTTCTTCACACCAAGGAAAGCCTTCCCCGTGTTAGTCCATCCCCCAGTGTTCCCATCTGCTGTACTTGTTTCTTCCAACAGAGGCATGACTGATTTCTCTGACCTTCAGAGACTTCCTCTTCTTGGTAGAGTTCTGGGGAGAGGCTCTGCTTCCTTCCAAACCCTCAGCAGCAAGGGCTGTTTGCCTTAGACTACCGCTTAGGAGGAGGGGAAGCAGGAGGCATGTATGCTAGGGAGTTTCTGTCTTCTAGTCCAGGATGGAAACAATGGACCAGAGCCATCTTCTAAGGCTTCCTTCCTTCTGCCCTTGTTGAGTGTCATGGCTTCTGTCCTAAACACTTTGCTCCATCATGAAAGGAAACAAATCATAATCTCTTGTGTGGTCCTTAGACTGATAGGCCAGGTTCTTTTCAACTATCCATCCATGTATTCATCCAACCATCCATCCATGTATTCACCCATCCATCTATCTATCCATCCATTATCCATCCATCCATCTGTCCGCCCATCCACCTATTCAACCATCTATCCATCTGTTCACCCATCTATCCATCCATCCACTCACCCACCCACCAACTCATCCATCCATCTGAGAATTTCATAAACACAAGGACCATGTGTTAAGTTTTTACTCTGCTACTGCCATGCTGGGATCATAAAAGAAGAAGAAACTTTCATCTCTTTCTTACAGTGTAGCTGACAGGACACATTTTTAAAACACAGTAATACAACATTAGGGACTAGTAGACCTACAAACAAACAAACAAAAATGAAGTAACCAAATAATCTAACATCATTACAGTAAAAGGGCATTAGAAAACGCTATTCATATCCAGAGATGGGGTTGAATAAGGTAATCATCAATTATTATTCCATATTTGTAGTTGTATCAACGAGGTACATTTGCTTCTAGTCCTAGTCCATCTGCTTACCTAATCATATTCATATAATAAAGACTTTGTTAAATCTGTCTTCATTTGATTTATAACATAAACATGTGATGCTCATACCTGTTCGTGTATACAAAACACACATGCATATACAAACAGACACCCACATGCATACCTATATTCATGTACACACAGCCATACACATACATACACTAGGTATATGTGTGTATATGTGCACATGGAGAGAGAGAAAAGAGGGAGGGAGGGATGGAGGAAGGGAGACAGAAAGGGGATGAATATAGATATCATAGTTAGAAATTTTTATAAGAGCAGTTTCCACAAATCTGTAGCTAGTGGCATGTGCACATGTATGTGTGTGTGTGTGTGTGTGTGTATACTAAAGATACCTACTGGAATGTGTATTTTTCTTTGGATATCTGTGTTGTGCTTAGTGTTAGAATTTGCAGCAGACATTACAGTGAGGGTCTTCCTCTTAATCCCTTGTAGAGAAGTCCTAAGGCAGGAAGAGCAACCAAACACTGTGTGGGGCTACCAGTTAAACCTGAGCCAAACAGACTGGTGAGAGACCCTGCTGTTTCACAGGCAGGGAAGGCCCAGGCGATTCTGCCTCTCTAATGCTAGTCACACAAGCTGGCTTTGCTGCCTCACCTCTTGGCCTATAAACTCCTGTACTGGAGTGTTTGAAGTACAAAAGATTGCAAGTTGGTTGAATATTTGGATTCTATGAAGTCTAGAAGCCCTTGGAAACGTAGGATTGGTTTCTACCATAATTCATGAACATGTAAATAAAGTACAGTCATAGGTTATTTATTCCAGGCATTTTATTTAGTCCACAGCACCAGGTAGAGATACAAGATCACATAGATCATGGTGAGAAAATTAAACATCATTTTAGTCTGACATTCAAACACATGAACTTGGCTATATGTCTGCTACGTAAGAGTTTCTGACCAGAACCAATGAGGTTTTCTGTATTTTCTGAACACAATGAACTCTTCTTACTTTACATTAGGAAGAGATTTCACCCTGATTGATGCACCAGTTAGATACCAAGTATATAACTTGCAGCTATAGACTGCATGGAACCATCATACCCCAGCCTATGGCTAAACAAACACTACTTGGTATCTGGTTTAATTTCTAGGTTCATTTATGCAAGTTGTAAAATGATCAGCAAACTGCAGCCCTCAAACCTCTCAAGGGCATTAAACACAGAGGGACAAACTGATTTCAAATGTTAAGTATATATGTGACAAAGAAAAAAATGTGGATCTTGGGCTTGTCCTGTCAAACCAGAGCGGATGCCCTAGCAGGGTTGGTTTATGCAGTTTGCTGGCTACTGTGAGTCACCGACACTGGCAATTCTAGATCACAGGTGTGACCAGACATGGGAGTGTGCTGTCCCGTGATGCCGTAGGCTGTGTTTGCATGGCATTTCTGGTTTTATTGGTTCCATTCCCACAATCCTAAGTGGACGAGATGGAAGCAGACACGGGCGTGAATGTTTCTGGTGAAGGTGAACGGCGTTAGGCATCCCAGACAGGCAGACTTCCTCGAGCAAACGAGGCGTGAGTACACTGAACATCACAAGCTGTGTGGGAGGATGGGCCCTCAAATCTCAGGAAACCTGGACTCGGGCGGTTTCCCCACTGCCTTTCACTTCCTGCAGGCAATGCTGCGTTACTATGTGAGTTTATTCCTTCCACAGTCTATTCCCTATTTACTTTTCATTACAGAGATAGAATCAGTTATCAGGATAAGGCACTGTAATACCTACCTAATGTTAATATCTGTTTAAGAAACCCTAAAATATAAACACATTAGTCCTAGAGGCTCTTAAGAACCCACTTCTTGTCTATCACACAAGTTTGAGTAAATATATTGTATTTAACTTGGATTCCCACATTGACACTTGAAGATTGGAACTTCCTGCCTAGGGGCTCAATTCTAGTCTTCAGAATTCTACCATCTGGGCCATAGAGTGCCTGCTGGGTAAAGTTGGCTACCCCTGTGGATTCTGTATTTGGCATTGATTTTTGTGGTTATGGTCTCCAGATGCTAAGCTGCTTGTGGTGTGTGTGTGTGTGTGTGTGTGTGTGTGTGTGATCTTTTATGATGAAAGTAGCTTTCAAATGCTGCCCTAGTTTGAGTAGAGAGAGAGGACTCCTCCCCACCTTCATGGAGGGGATTAGCAGGGTCTAATTGCCACAGGAAGGAGTGAGAAGAAGTGTGGCTCCAACGAGAGCAGATCACCAAATTCACACACACACACACACACACACACACACACACACACACAAATCATGGGGAACACATATTTGGCAAAGCGCTATTCTCGGCTCCCCAGCAATGAAGTCTTCTGTTGGTTCTTTTTGGCAGGACGATAAACAGGTGTGTCGTAGTTGGAGAGACCTTGGAGAGAGTTGCTGCGGCTGCCCAGCTGTGTCCTATAGCACAGCGCAGATCCCCAGCATCAGGATGAGGTGATAAAGAACACCTGTGAAGCAGAGGGGGCAGAGACAGCACTGAGAAACAGCTGTGTGAGGCCAAGGAGCATTCAGCCAGAGTTAGTGCAACGGGGCTGCTGCAGAGCTTCCAAATTTTACACATAGGCATTCCTGCTCATTTCCTGGGACTTGCATGCTCCACTTCTATCAACACAGAGGCCCTAACACATAAGCCTAGGTTGTGGACCTTCGGCAAACAGACATCTGACTTGGACTGCACAGTGCTGGCACACGCCTTTCCCTGTAGGATGCTCTCTGGAGCATTTCCCTTTAGAATGAGAAGGGGGCATCAAACTCGATTTACATGATTTTCTTAAACTGACAAACTGCTTCCCATCTGGAAGTCAGCAAGTCAGCGCAACAGCCCCACCCCACCCTATGTCTTTGTCACCTTTCCACTGAGACTCTGGCTGCAGCTGAAATGGCTCTTCCTCTCAGAAGCGTCTCCAGCTGCTTACTATGTCCCTTCCCCCAGCCTTCACCCCATGACCTTGTCTTGTCCACTGTGCTGTTTAATGCTGAACTATAATTAATTCATAGCATACCACGTATGCCAGGGACAATCATAGCCCAGTTCCCAGAGCAAAGCTAAGTGAGGAGGGCTGAGGCGCTTTCTTATCCACGTGGCTCCATTGATGAACCACAGAGTCTTAGCAGGGACTCAAATATTTGCTAATGAGAAGATGATCTGATCCAAAATTGTGTTCTCCAAATGCAGGAACCTTAGGAAAGCCGCCTGGTGATGGCTCTGTCCAGGGGGTTCTGTGGCCTCTGATGGTTCTCCATCCATTTGAAACAGCTCGTCTCTCGGGTCACAGGCTTGTTGGCGTGAGACCGCTTACCTCTGTCCCCCTCTGCCCTACTCAGGTGTACTCTAAGATGTATATTTTCAATGACAGATTTTGCTGGGGCCATAACAGTACATCTACTCACAAACCACTGCCCCATGCCATGAAAGTGCCTTTTCTCCTTACCTGAGAAGTCACAGAGACTGGAGAATCCCCTGCCTGGAGTAAGCAAAGAGAGAGAACGCGGGCTGAAGAAAGCCATGGAAGGAGTATGAGGACCTGCTTCTGAGCCACCAACCTGACCATGACCGACCCCCACTAAATCATGAGACATTACCTTTCAGAGGAAGCATACTGAGGTTTTGGTTTTTGTTTGTTTTGGAGACAGGGTTTCCTCTATGAAATGGTCCTGGCTGTCCTGGAACTCACTTTGTAGACCAGGTTGGCCTCGAACCTACAGAGATCCACCCGCCTCCACCTCCCAAGTGCTGCATCCTGAGGTTGACAAAGGCTTCCTCTCACAGCATTGCCTCTTTGGCTGTCTACAGCAGGGTCCCATAAATACTTTGGAAAGCACAAGATATTAAATACTTTTAACTTTGCAGGGGGCTATGAAGTATTTTCTTTCTTCACACCTTTGGGCAGTCTTATTGCGTATCCCAGATGGGTCACAGATTCACTATCCTTCTGCCTCAGCCTCCTGAGGACTGAGGTTACAGGTGTGCACCACTGCACCAAGCATGGCCTTATTGCATTGTCTTTGTGTGAATGTACTGTAGACAATGCCATCTGTGTTCTAATAAAACTTTATAGACATTGAGATTTTAATTTTATTGAATTTTTATGCACCACGTTTTTCTTTTCTTTTTAATTTTTGGGACCACATGAAAGTGCACAAAACCTGTTTTATTTGTAGGCCCCATAAAACCAAGAGGACGTCTGGGGACTTAGCTCTGGTCTGTAGTTTGGCAACTATGCTTTGAGGGCCAGCTCCAAAGTCTGGCTTACCCTCCGCTCACAGCATCCTCGAGGTCACAGTGACATTTTCCAACAGTCTATAAGGCCCATACTGGGTCAGTTCCTGTGGCTACACACTCCTGCATCACCCTACCCATCCCCCACCCCTCAACATTCCCCCACCCCTCAGTGTGTACCATCTCTCTCCTGGCTAGAAGGTAGACTCTGTGAGTCTTGTTCATTTCTGGAACTTAGTGTCCAGGCCAGGTTTGGGCAGTGAAGGCTCGCTGACATTCCCAGGATACCTGCACTTCCATTCCTGTCGTTTGGAAGCTCAGGTCACTACTTCCTAATTCCTTAGGAGCATTTGTATTTGGGTCCCCAAAAGGCCTTCAGGGTAGTCAACAAACCTCACCTCCTTGGGCCCACATGATCAGACCCGCAGCACTTCGAGGAGCAGGTGAGTGTTGTGTCCACAGGCACGCCTGGTTTGACAATTCAATCAAAATGCTCAAACCTGCCGTGCCTGTGGTCACAGCCCAGAGTGCACATGACTATGGGGGAATCAGCTTACTCCGCAAGGACAGCTCCACCACCAGGACACCCCCTGTCTGCTCACGCAGCATCCGCTTCCGTTTGTCGCAGTTCTGAAGACCGGGAGGAGAAATGAACAAAGGAAACAAGAGACAAACCAAAAAGCAAAGTGAAAGTTCATGGAACGCCAAGTCCCCACCCAGTCACTACTTTCATAAAGTGTACAAACCACGCACACATGCACCCATGCACCCATGCATGCACGCACGCACGCATGCAGCTAGCAGTCATTGACTCCCCAGGCTGGGGAATCCCTGATGGACTAGGTCATCATGATTCCAACAGAGGAGGGCATTACGCATTTTAATAGGAAACAAGACTTGACTTTCCTCTTATCTCAGGGATAGGAGAAGAGGACACTCGCAAAATGTGTTCTGCTTCCTTTCCTTCTGTTAAAACTGCAACTCCACTGCCTTCCGTTGATCAAGTACTAACCAGTTCTCCTCCACCCACAAGCCCCGCAGCCCCGGCTCTTCTTTCTTTTCCTCCCTGTGTTCAGAAGCAACTGTTTTCTAGCCACAGGAGTAGACAGAAAGAGAGCTCCAAACCTTTTCTGCTGGTTGCTCCAGGCCATGTGGGCTGGCAGCCTTTTTAGATGCTTGGGCCTCTGAGGCCTCCAGTCTACACGGAGGATGAGACAGTTTGGCGCTCAGCACTTTTAAGTTCCTGAGGAGGTGTTCTGCACTCTGCAAGCCCCGGAGCTGCAGGGCACTGGCCCTTCCGCCCACTGTGCTAGACTTTCAGCATTTCTCTGAGGACAGTCCAGTCGGGACTGCAATCGCCCACCTTTAGTCTAGATCTTGGATTCCTTGACACTTTGAACTTTCTCAAAGCCTTTTCATGCATATTGCTACCTCCATTTTTATCTTACGTTGCTCTCTGAGAAGGGAACAGCCATCAGAACAGAGCACCTCTATTCCAAGATGATGAAACCAGGCCCACTGGGTAAGCTACACATACCAAATTGGTAAGTTTTGGTAGCAGGGTAGACAGGCCCAGACCTTCTGCCTCTGCACCAGGCCCCACCTCCCCCAGGTCAATCCAGCTTCTCCAATCCCAGCCCCTTGGGGTCATATCTTCCTTCCCGAGCCAGGACCCTCACCACTGGGCAGGAGAGCTTCTCGCTGTCACAGATGAATGTCTCACAGTGTAACCAAACCTTGGAGAGTTTGGGGATGTTCTGGAACCGGAAGGCGTTGAATTGGAAAGTTGCCCTGTGATCCTTGCCATTTTCATGCACGAAGACCGTTTCATCAGTGGGGCAGCTGGTGTTCACGGGAGTCGGGGGGAGGGAGAATGAAACAATGAAGCATCGCACCGAGACCGCCAGAAAGGCTTCAAGGCAACATTTCACACAGCACTCTGGGAGACCAGAGCACGCTGCTTGTCCTTCCAAAGAACTCTGATCCCTGAGTGTGAGGTAAAATTGAAGGACTACGGGATAGACCTGATTGCCTCCTATTCTAAAATAGGGGGTGACTTATGAGAACCCATACATCTGGTAGGTTGAACCCCTGTCCTAAAGAAGTTAAATCTCCAAGTCTCTTTATGACTGGCCTCTGAAAGGCCTCAGGGTAACACAAGGACCACCATGATGGATGGGAGTGGTGTGTTCCCTGTTGCCGTAGACACCCAAACTGAAGTCACACCCGCTTCTTAGCTCTGTGTACATTCTTAGGTTCGGCCTGAAAGTGGAAAAATGAATTTATGTTCAATTAATTGTAGATATGTTATATAATAACCTTTATTAAAACATACTCATATTTTCCACATATTATCTAAATAATGGGGAGAAAAATTATTTGCTGAGACAGAAGCAGGAACTGGAAAATATCATCTGAGAATTCTCTCTGAGGAGTCATGAGCGAGAAACAAAGGTTGTACCTTCCTATCTGGGCCAAGGGTCAGAGCTATTTCTGTTTGTTGCGGCCTTGGCATTGATGGGGCTGTGAGACTTTTCCAACTTATGATATGAGGATCTAGCGGGATTGTTTGCTCAATAAACCTGAGATCCTTGTCTGAACTCAAGATATGGAGCCTTAAAATAGCTCTTTGTAGCCAGAGTGCCCGAGGCTGGTGTCAGCCAATGGAAAGTAATGTAAGAGGAGCTTTGTGGTGGGGGAAGGGATGGCAAAGATTGGGCGAGCCTAGATGTGTTGGCATCACCATTTCTTGGCACAAGTTGTGGCACCTGCCTCTCAGTGACAGCTTACTCTGGTTGGTTGGATGGTGGCAGCCTGCTGGGAGGTCTCCCCCTCACCCTGAGCGAGTTCCCTGCCCTACATGGAATCACCCTTTGAGGGGGGTGTGCTGCTGCTGCTGCTGCTGTGCTCATGTGTATAGGAAAATACCTGATAATATCGTATAGATATGTGTATGTCTACATATGTATATATATAGGTGTATCTCCACACTTAGTATCACTAAGGACCCTTGAAACTGGAGCTCTACCCAGAGGATCTCGTAGGAACAGAAAGTTTCCTCCCAAGCCATTCCAAGCCATAGCAGAAGAGACCAGCGCACACTGGACCCACTCCCTGCACTGACTCCAGAAAATAGACCTACCCCTTATTGATCAGCTGCCACTGCAAGGGGTACATGAAGTCAGCTGAGGGGGTGGCCCAGCAGCTATTCAGGACTACTTTAAACCTGGAAACAAAATAGGGAGGTGTCAATAAGAACCAGTCTTGTGTATACAAACATCGGAAGACTAGAATCTGTTGACTGGTCTTCTTTTCCTTTGTCCTTAAAAATACACAGAGTATAAAGGGACTTACCGAGTACTTAGCCCTTTGGCCTCTACTCCTGCGAACAGGTCTGAACCGATTTCGGATGTTTCCAGAATGAAAGGAGCTTCTTTCTTGGTGGAAAACTTGGCGTTCTTGGGAAGGAAATGGGAACACTAGGCACTGTGACCTCTCAGAATGAATAGTCAGTCTGGCGGAGGTAGACACTTTGGGGAAGGATTAGAGGTGGAAGCCACCAGCCCAAAACAAAGCACATGAGATTATAGCGCAAACTCTAGAGCCAGAGAAACTGTACCTCTGAGGATGCAGATGTCATCTTAGGTAGGGTAAGGGCATTTGCTGGTCATGGTTTGACACACATTGTCTCCGTGATGCCAACAGAACTGACTGATGGAAAAACAGTGCAATCCAAGGACAGCAAGCCACGGCTTTACAGACACTCAGGGCAAGAACAACTGAATGCATACAGCCCCTCGCCATCCCTGTTCCCTGCACTCTGAGCAAATGCTCGCCTGAGTTCTAAAGTGGATGACCTGTTAACAGTGTGATTATCCACAGACATAAGCCATTGATTGCCTGCAATGTAGTTAGGTATTGCTCTCTATATTTGGGTAGTTTCTATGTCAAGACACTCTTCTTTGAGATACAATATTTGTGAATGAAGCAAAAATCTATCTCTAAATGATCTGATTTTCTAGCAGGAGAGAAAGGCAATAGAAAAGAAGTAAATTGCGCAGTATATTGGACTGGAATATAGTGAGTAATATTGGAAGCCATAAAAATAGCAAAATTGACTGGGAACATGAGGAAGGGTAAGCTGCATTTAGTGTGTGTGTGTGTGTGTGTGTGTGTGTGTGTATTCATATAAATGTTTGTGTGGGTGTGGGTACATGAGTGCATAAAGGTATGAGTGTAGAGGTCAGAGGTCAACCTCTGGTTCCTCTCCTCAGGCACTGTCTACCTCGAGTAGACCCTTAAGAAAGGGTCTCTCACTGGCCCAGAACTCACCAAGTGGACTAGACCGGCTAGCCGTTAAGCCGCAGGGATCACCTGTCTCTGCCTCCCCACGCTGGGATTACAAGTGCCATTGCTCTCAGCTCGGTTTTTCAAATGCAGGCTCTGGAGTTTGCACTCAGATCCTCACGCTAGCAACAGCAAATGCGTTGGCAGTGGGGCCGTCTCCCCAGCCCCTGTCACGTATTTGATGAGGGCTGTCAGGGAGGCCTCCTTGAGGAGGCAGCATTTGAGCAAGGCTTGAGGAACGTGAGGAAGGAGGCTGTGTAGCCACACCAGGAAGAATGTGTGCCCTGGGTCAAGGGTATGGGTGGCAGGACACCAAGGAGGCCAGGTCTGGAGGAGGGTTAGAGAGAAGAGAAAGGAGTGGGATGGGGTTACAGGGCTGTGAGGTTTGTCAAGGAGAGCGTACCGAAGGGTCACTGCTGTGACAGGCTCAGGAGTGTCAGGATCTGCTCCTAAACATCACCTTCAGATGATGCTCGGTGAGTTAGCAGGAATTACAGCTGTGATTGACCTCCTCAAAGGAGGCTCCTTCTCCATTCTGTGAGTCTCCTGTTCAATTCACCTGAATAAGAACCTGGACTACTCTCTGGCATTGGCCGTGGGAGACAGAGACATTGGCCAGATGCTAAGATCCCAGGGTAATCCTGGCCCCTGCGGGCTAGCTTTAGATCCATCTCTTCAGTCCTGTGAGTTGGGGCTAGCCTGCTGACATTGTAGCATAGAAGGATAATCCTGGCCCCTGCAGGCTAAATTTAGACCCATCTCTTCAGTCCTGAGATATGGGGACAGCCTGCTGACATTGTAGCATAGACACATAAAGCTTTGACTAGGGTCTTTCAAAACCTGAATTGATGAACTTAAACACTTGCAACTTGGTAGGCGGCTGCAGCAGACAGAACTGACATCCAGTCAACATGGACTTGGCCTCCTATGGGTCCAGCACTCGAGACTTTGCAAGGGGGCCCCAAATCTCTCTCTTAGGATGACTCACATTGTTCTACGGAAGCAGATCCAGCCGAGGCTCCCACAATAAGCTACCTAGAAGCTGGTTCCCTTCTTTTCATTCGTCAGGCCTCTGCACCTCATTACTGACTGCCACAATTGAGCAATAAAGGTCCCAGGCATAAGTGATCTCCTTATATATGCATAGCATACAGCTGAAGTAATACCTTTTTAGTAGTTTTTAAAGTATTTTTGGTATTGTCTAAAATTTTATGAGATTTCAGGGGATTTTTCCAAACATGGACACTAACTTGGGAATGGCAGTTAGTCCCCAGGTCTCCAGAGACACCTCTGTGGAGTCTTTCTCCTGGAGATCAGCTGGTAGAGTGTGATGTTGCTGCTGATGGAGCAGTTGTCCATTTCTGCAGCAAAGTGAAGAGCAGAGGCTGCCATCTTCGTTTCTGATAACTACAATAATGCTTAGCTTGATTTTTTCCCTTCCTTCTTCCCTCCCTCACTCTCTCTTCCATTCTTCCTTCTTTTTGTGGTCTTTTTTAATACTACTCTGACTAGCCTGAAACTCACTGTGTAGACCAGGCTGCCCTCTAGTTCTCGGCATCCCTGCTTCTGCCTCTCGTGCTGGGATTACAAATAAGAGCCATCACATCTGGCAACCCCTTCTTTCTTTTTAACATGAAAATCAGAGACTTATCTTCAGATAGCTTTACCGTGGTAACCTATTTATATGCCAGGGATGTTTATCTTGACATTCCTGAAAACAAAAAGATGACAAAGACTACTTTTCTGCCCTATAGGATGGACAAGTCTGCTGAGAAACTGTGTTCCAACGTTCCTTCCCTTGACCAAAAGGCTGACTCACAACTAGCTAGTCACCCAAGTTAAGGATAGGTAGGCTTCACTGAGCAGAAGTTCATATGGGGAAATCTAATTGCTTTTGTTCATAGGTGAGACAGCAAGGAAAGAAAACCAACCGAAAGTGAATACTTTAGGACATATTCCTAGAGTTTTCCAGAACCTAGACAGTCACCTGTGGCCTTCTATGTCTTGTATGGGCTCAGCAGAGGACTGGAATCGAACATTTCAACTCTGGGTCCCTCTTTGTAAAGGACACGGCCAGCTGGCTTAGGCTCAAAGGAAAGTGACCAGGACTACAGACAAAGAAGTGAGAAGATGTTTTGTTTAGAGAAGATGGGGGCCTTTGGAGAGTTGTGACTGATGTAATTCCACAGAATTACTTCAGCAGTCAGAACCAATACAAATAGGAGTTCAGGGGTCAGATTTTACCTGATAATCGGAAACACAAGGCCAGCTCACCTGTGTCACTGGTAGAGGTGGAGTGGCCGCCCTCAGCAATGGAAGCTCTGTGGGCTTCAGGCAGGAAATCAAGAGTGGTCTCTGTGGTTTATTCTGATTCTGGAAGGATCTTTAGTCTTTGTTTGCCTATGTCCACCACAAGCCTTTCTGTTTCTTTTTGTGTCTCCACTAAGAAGAATGGGCAATACTGTTTCTTTTTGTGTCTCCACTAAGAAGAATGGGCAATACTGTTTTGATGCTAAGACATTAAACCACTCTCACACCGACCTTGATATTCATCTCTATAAAGGCAATAATTGTTAGAACGCTCCTAGCATCCATGTTAAATGGGGTCAGAATCTCCACTCATGAGAACAACTGGCTTCCTGGGTACTTACCAAGTCCACACGCCATACTTAAACATAGTTTCTCTGAGTCTCCTAAAATCTAAGGAATACATGTCACTAAGTTCTTACTCTATGGCTGCCGAGAGGGAGGTGCAGGGAGGCTCCCTAACTTTTCCAAGTCATCTAACTAGTAAATAGTAAAATCAGGCTTTGTAGCATGGCCCATTTTCTTTTGAACCCACAGTCCCAGGCTTTATCTGTAAACCAACAACCTTCCTTCGTCTTTGAATGAGAATCATAACTTTGCTCTGGGAATATCAACTATGGGTCCTTGGCCAAAGTGAACAGGAAGGGATGGAGAGAAAGGAGAGAGGACTTATGCAGAGCAGGAGGAGTGGATCTGGGGCCCAGGCTCTGGATTTCCCGGAATCCTAAGCCATTAGCAGTGTGTTGGTCTCATTGTGCTATGTAGGGCATGGCTCTGTTTCTGGTAATCAGATGGAAATATATGCAAGGGGGCAGTTGTTGCTTTAGAAACACCCAAGAATGCCCTCAAAGTGGGGAAAAGAAAACATGGTTAGGCATAGGAAACCGAGCCCACAGCAAAATCTAAACCAGAACAAAAGTGTCTGGACAGCGGAAGCTTCTCTCTGCTAACGTCCATTTGTTCTGGAGGGACTTTGACGGTGGGGTCTGGGGGACATCTTGGCTTCATTTCTAGATAATTCCAGAAGTAATTTGTTCATCTATTTCTGCAGCTCGGGAGATGGCTGGTAAAGATAGATTGATTGACTGAGGGAATATCTTCTACTTCTGAGGTTATGTCTATGTCTGAAACTCAACCCTGTGTGGTTGACGGTGAGAGATGAATTTAAAAACCCTGACCTCTGTCGCCAACTATTGTCAACTTCAGAGATCAAATCTTCAACCTATCTCATTAGAATACCAACTACTAGCTTCTAGTAGGCCTTCATAGTAAAGATTGTAGTCCCATGTGGGAAGCTGTTCACAGCCATTCCATCACCCCTGCTGGTTTACGGTGCATTGATCCCTGGACACTAACACTGTAGGTATTTCTGTCTCTGGTTCAGCCACTGATGATATGAAGTCAGGGCTAGGCTGGATTTTAAGGAAACTTGAAGCATATACATCTTAGAGATCCTTCTTTAACAATAATCTTAAAAAAGATTTAAAAATTGAATCCTGCCTTACACCTGGGCTTTGTGGGTGAAGGGCCCTGAGGCTCTCTCTACCTCTCACCCTTTGCAGACAGCACCTCAGCTGGGGACTTCCTGTTCTTACCAGAGGCTTCCCCAAGGCCCCTGTGTGGTCTTGGGAAAACACCTTCCTTCTTTTGGATTTCATGTCTTTATCTGCAAGACAGACTAGGCTGTTTAGGATTCTCCCAGCACTTGGCGATGAGCTCGGGGGCTAATGGCTTCGGGGGCTAATGGCTGCCGGGGCACAGGTGAAGAATGTTCAGTGTTAGAGAGGTTTCAGATGGGACAGTGTTTGCTCTCGGAAGCGAAACGGGTCAGATGAGCTGCCCTCTAAGGACACTTCCAACGCTCGACACAAACGTTTGTGTTTCTGCCCCCGTCTTCCTCTAGCCAGCTGTGCCAGTGTGCCCTCTGTGTGCCTGTATCCTCGCTGGAAGCTGCAGTTTGAAAACAAAGTGCCTTCTCTATTGGGAGAGCAGCCAGGCCAATGGCCAGTGCATATTTAGTTTCTCCGCAGCACTTAATTTTGAGAGAGGCCAGAGTGTGCCTTTAACTCTCCATGTCAATACAGGCAGCAGATCCAATTAGAACAGTGAGGCAATCTTACTGGAAGGCTTACGGGGTGAAGGAACTAAACAGTGGAGGCTAGCCCTAAGCCTTGTCTTTAGCGCTGGCCTGGTCAGGGAGTGCAACACTCTTGACTAATGTTTTTGAGATCCTAATGGCAAATACATCTCTGGAGAGAAATGGGATAGCTACTAATCTTGATTAAGAGTTGGACACGGGTGTTCTATTGTCTGTCCAGCGACCCTGCCTTCATTTTGGTACCAGTGAAGTGGGGAGGTCAGCCGCATCTGTGCCATTTAGCTCATCTATTGGACTGTAAAGTGGATCTTCCATTGCTCCTGAGCTTTAAAGTCAAGCTAGGCCATATGCCGCCATCGGAGTTCCGGAATGGGGCGCTTCCGCCATCGGAGTTCCGGAATGGGGCGCTTCCGCCATCGGAGTTCCGGAATGGGGCGCT